CAATGCCTTGAACAACTAATCCATACCTCTCCATAACCTCCTGTCCCATTGGCTCCCTGTTTTATTTTTTCAGACTAAAAAAGCTGTCACCTCCACAGAGCTCCATTGCATTCTGAGGTTGCCATAGGCTGATGGCTGCTTCCCAAGTCCAAGAGTGCTCAGCATTGCCAAGGGGACAGGGCCAGTCTCAGATCTGAGGACATCAGGAGCTGTGTAAAGATGCTGTCAGTTTCCTGAAGCATCAGGAAACCAAAGTGTTCTTGCAAAGTTTAGGAGAAAGTTTAGAAGCTGAATGATTTTTAGGCAGATGAGTGTACAAACTGGCAAGTTAAACCAGGGTATCATAAAGTGTTACTTTCAAGGCTAAAAATCAAAACCATACGCTATAAAGGCAGAGGAGAGGCAACCACTCAGGTGCACAATATTCTGCAGCCTTTACACCTTGCCATTTTCCTAAAAAACCACCTTGCCCCAACAATGAAGGGAAAGATATTTATCCTCTGGAACATGGCTTTGCATCCAGGTAACATGTTACCTGTTTCTCACTTCAGTTTTACTTAGCAAGTGGTCACAGTTCATTTTACAGTGACCATGTGCTGGCACATCAGCCCCTGCAAAGTTGTTTAGATACAATATCATCAAGAATGTTAGTCCAAACTCTAAAATTCCTGTGTTCCAGAACTGATAAAAGCTACATACTGTCATTTGTAGCAATTGTAATTCAAATTATAGGAGAAAAGCACATAGTACAAGCACACTCCTGCAGTTTTTGCAAAATTAAATGCTTTCCATTTTGTCATTGCTGTAGCTAGCAAGATGCTTTGACAACTTCAAATTGCCATCTCTAACGGAAAGGGAAACATGGTAGGAAGGAAGAGGACAGACTAACAAAATAAAATTTTACTTTTTCATCTTAGATCAAATTCAGTTCCTACTGAACCTGCTTACTTTGCTCAGAACAAAGCTGGATCTGGGCTATAAGGGCAAAATTACTCTGGACTGATGCAAACATCAATGCAGATACAAAATATCTGGTTAAAACACAAGGCTTTCATGTGAAGTGCATCCACAGTGCTTAATGTATTCACAAAACTGAATATACTGATACATTTGTGCTGGCAAGAGTGAACCACTCATCACTGTCAATGTACTTCATTTTAATGTGGTTTGAAAAATAGCAGGTTCAGTCACCAAGTTAGGCATATCTAACTGTGCAAATTTTTCATTAGCAATTGTCTGTTTGCGTAGGAAGCTGTGGTGTCATTCCATTGCACACATCCCTTCTTGCATGGTACATTAAAAGGAAACAAAAACCATGAGAGGCCAAAAGGAGCTGCTCATAAAAAGCCAAGCACAGATTGTTCATTGCTAATGGATTGTGGACAGTTGGTCAATGCATTTTCTATAAAAACCTGGTGCATTTAAAGCAGCTTATTTCATGAATCACAGATTACTGCACCAAATTTCTGAGGGCATCTGAGCCATGTTTTAAGAGTATCTAGAATCACAGCCCCCCACTTCTCACTGAGCTGTTTCACGTCTTTGTTGCACTTCTTCCCTGACCTCAAAAGTAATTTATTTTGTCTTACCAAATTTGGAAGTTTACACATGAAAAACTCTTTCTGTCAAGATGTGATAACTCTCCTTGCTTGGTCAAAACTGGCCCCTGGTTCTTAAAAGAAATTTTCAAACCAAAAGTTCTGCTGCTAGTACTGTTATTTGTATTAATTTGGGAATTATTTCGTAATGTACTCACAGTGATAAAGGAAAAGGACTTGACTCCTGCTCTGAGACTTCTTGAGCCCACTTCACCCATCTCTTTTGTGAACAACAGCAGAAACAATGGACTGACTCCCCTCAAAATGTAGAATAAAGGTGCTACGTTATGAAGGCTCAGCCAGGAAAGAGTTGTCCATGAAGATAGTATGACAGAAGCAAATGTTGTACCTGGACAAACAGGAGCATATAGGATGCATGGGCCTGTGAGCTCACCCCTGCAGGCTCTTCAGCACTGGCTGGACCCCAGGGGAATACGGGTCCAGCTGTGAGTACCAGGCTGCAAGGTGGGCTGACAGAGATGTTTAGGGCTGAGTACCACAGACAGACTCTTTATACCAACATTCTTCAGCACTCCAAATGTCTGGCTAATGACTGACAGTGTAAACAACTTGCTCGTGCATGATTTGTGCTCATTCTAGTGTAGGCATCAATGCTCTCTCTCAAGTAAGCTGAACAGAACTGTGAAAGTCCTTTCTGAAATGTTGACTTGCTGGGGATCTGGAGCTAGTGATAAACGTTGCAGATTTTCTTCAAACAGAACTTCTCTGGCTTTATTGCTTCATTTAATTGAATTTTCCTTTTTTCTCTCTTTTCTTAAATACAGCTCTTGAAAATGAAACAATTCAGTCTTGGGCATACCATGTACCTTTTTTCAAGATTCATTAGCACAGTACAAATGTAACTGAAAGCAGAACCAGCTCATTGTTTTGGGAAGCAGTTCACCATATAGTCTATACTGCTTGTTAGTCACTTTCCTGTTTATTATCACAGGCTGGATGCAGGTGGTTTAGAGAAAAAAAATAGAAGTTATATAAAACATGTGAGGCAGATCCTCAAGGGATATAAATTGTTGTTGTACCATTTACAGGCTCTGGAGGACAGGCTGTACCTAATCAAAGTGTCCTTTGTTTTCTAATAAGATCCTACTGCATAGACTAGAAAAGAGATTTATTTCTTCGGTAGCACTGTGACCTTGATTAACCTAATTTGTAGTATCTATTTCAGTGAAAGAGATAATATCTACACTGACTTAGCAACTGCATTATTGCTAAATGCAGTATATGGCTGCTCATGTATCATTTGCTTCTCTCAAGCAATTTTCTGTCAGCAGAGAGGCAGGCTAGATGTATGCTCTGGGTGATTCCCATATCATCATTAGCAGAAAATTAAACCAAACTGTTGTAAAAGGTGAGCTGTCAGGAAGACACTGATTAAATACTTACCACCACAGTCAGCCCACATTGCATAATGTCTTTTTTAGAGGATTTCAGCCTGTTTTCAAATTGGTGGCCAGTGCCATGGGCCCAACTAACCTTCACTCAGGCCTTGAGAAGTAGGCTCAGATAAGCTTGGCCCTTTTCCATCTCAAGAGAATTTTATTTCAGTGTCATATAGTACAATACAGGAAAACAGCAATTTTTAATCTGCAGTTTGAGTGCAAGGTTGCTCTTGCACTACTAAGCTGTTCTCACCAAAATCTTTCACAGGTTCTTGCAGTGGTGATGCAGTCACAGCAATCCATTGTGGTCACACTGAGGTGTAGCTATCTGTCATGCAAAGAATGGGAAAGTGTGACTGTTTTGAAATGATGGGATCTGAATTACCTAAATAAAATTTTTCCTTCATGAGAAACCTTGGAGCAACAACTGAGACAGTAATAATAATACTGTACTCTATATTTCCCCTCCAACACTGGAAAGCTGCATCTTCAACATTCCTGTGTGAAACACATCCATATGTTGTGGATAGTAATTTTGAAGCACTGAGCTATTATCACTAATAGCCAATTTTATTAATCCTTTTCAGAATGGAGCAGCACACACTGGGACACAGAGATGATGCAGTCCTTGTCCAGAGGGACACACCAGCAGAACATCAAAGACAACTGTGACAAATGAGACCACATTGTGCAAATTATTAGTGGGTTCCATGGCTTTATTTTGTATTTTGCCTTCCTCTCTCCTGCCTCCCCTAGCCTTGGGCTTCCCTTGCTCAGCTTTTCCCCTTTCACCCTGATGCTTTCCCTTCTCCTTCCCATGCCTCCCTTTCTGCTGACACTGGTCCTAAGAGCCAGTACTGAGACAAGTCAAAGGTGCTCAATACAGCCAAAAGGCTGAAGGATTCCCACCCTAGGAAACAAGAAACCTTTGTACCTTCAGGACACTGGACGGTCCTTTACAAGCACCTTTTACTCAGTTGAAGACTGTTCTGTTGGTGAGGAGTCTGGTAAAATAATCCTAATAAGCAAAGAGGTTTCCTAATATTGCCTCTAAACAGGACACTGGAAACAGGATGGCTAATGGTCAAATCCTGCCTCCAGTGGTGTGGGCAGATGCTTATTGACTGCAGATATCCAATTTTGCTTCAACAAGTTTCTTTTGTCTTTTTACAGCTACCCAGACAAAACTCATCTTTTCTGTTGACCAGTGCTTCTGAAGACAGCCAGAATTTTATCACTTATCCAGGTCAGGCACAGCAAACCCAGCAGCTGGTATTTCACACCTTGAATCCTTTCAAAAGTTGTCCACCTATTCCATGAACATGAAGGTTCATCTGACCCCAGGCTGGCTATGTTGGAAATCTACTCTAGTTTTATTATTTAAAACTGTAAGCAAGACATTTCCAGAGAGCTGTGAAAGACTATTCACAAGGGGATGTAGTGGCATGATAAAGGGGAATGGCTTCAAACTGAATGAAGGCAGGTTTAGATTAGATATTTGGAAAAAATCCTTTACTGTGAGGTTGTTGAGGCATTGGAACAAAGTGCCAGAGAAGCTGTGGATGCCCACCCCTGAAAGTGTTCAAGGCTGGACTGGATGGGGCTCTGGGTAACTTGGCCAAGTGGGAGGTGTCCCTTCCCATGACAGGGGGATTGGAACTAGATGGTCTTAAGATCCCTTCCAACCCAGGCTGGCCTGTGACTATGATTAAATGATAGCGGGGTCACAAAACACTGACTGCACTTGTGGAAAATCTGCCTTTTGTTGGAACTTTTAATTTCAACAAATTTCCGAGTTTTGAAAATTTAATTTCCAGCTCACATAATCTGTAACCTTGACAGTTAAGTGAAAAATACTTCTACTACTAGATATTTGCTAGCCCCAGAGCTAGATGATCCAGGTATTTTGACCTGGTCTTACAGAGGCTGTGAAAGCTTTTTTGTTTCTCAATAAATGAAAACTTTCTTGCACTGGTGACTGTTCCATCTAAAGGCATACTAATAGGAGCAAACAGAAAGAATTTTATAGAGAAACTTTTGCATATGGCTTGAAAAACAAACCCATCAAGAGTTGACAATGATAGATAATCTCCCCAGTGACATTCAGGAATAATGCATTTTCACATTTATGTCAGGAAAGAACAAACAATGGATATATTTAAATAATTATTAAAAATGAGATGCCTGGCAGAAGGCAAGTTCCAACTCTGTTCTGCCACACATCTTCTGGAAATCTTTTCTGGACATTATCTGAGGCCTTCTTATTTGAATTGCTCATGAAAAAGAACTGTAATGGAGGTTCACCCAAGTAAAAGGTTCTCTCAAGGGAAATTACATGAATGAACATTTTTCTTGTCTTCATGTTTGACATTCAGGAGTAGTGAAGAGAAAAGTCAGGCACAGGAGTCTTTCAGAAAACCACCAGAGAGCAGTGGCAGCATTTCATAGGGACGTGAACCGTTCATCATCTGCTGCAAAGACTCCATTAATGTGGCCTGCTTTTAAATCCAGTGCTTCACAAGGAATCCCATTTTCTAGTGTCACTTCAACTTTCTCTTCTAAATTTTCTCTCTCTGTTGACTCTTTATTCTTTCTAAAAACAAGAAAGAAAAGATCATCTTATTCTGTTGACCTGCAGCACTCCACCATGATTCCACTGAAAGAAAACTGTATATTTAGTTAAAAGTTTGTCATAGGTTATGCTCCTAAAGACACAATCTATTGTACTTCTTTGCTGTAGTAAATACACCAGATGGGTGTATCTAAATACAATAGCTGGGGGACCCACAGGAAGCCCTAGTTTAGAAGTTTAGAGTTTAAGTTAGAGCCCCTAGAAGTTTAGAGTTTAAGCTCAGAATTGGAGACCAGAAAACCTGAAGTAGACATGTTGTAAGTATATTTTAAATATTATTTCACTTTCTTATTCTGCAGTGTGACTAGAAGGTACAAAAGAAAAGCTGGGGCAAAACAAAATTTGAAAAAATCTCTAAATCTGTTTGGGTTTTTTACATCAGGAAGGTCTACACTAAGAATGTAATCTGACCCTGCAATGTATGTCATAGATCACACCCCATGATCTGTACAAAATAAAACATATTTTTTAAAAACAGATCAGTCTTAGACTAACTACAGGCTCCAAATGTAGAGATTTGGTTGCCCTCACATCCATGATTACGTTCTTCAGAACATTCACGATTACTTTCTTAGGTAATCTCAATGCTGCAAATCTACATTTTTTCTTCAAACTTCATTAACAGCCACCTTCCTACCAAGTATTTTATACTTTTGTTTTCTAGATCAAACAACTGCATAGTTTTCATTTTTCTAGACTCCAGCTGTCCCAAAAACATATTATAATAGTGATTGAATAAAATTATTTACATTAAAAAACCCTAGAAAATATTATCTAAAATATAATCATTCGAAAATGTAATAAACAAATATAAACAGGTCGTGATGTTCCTTTAATTCCATATTTATTCTGACCTTGAGAACAATTAGTTCATAGTTGAAAATCCTGCTGTACTTTATGGCCTGCAGCATCAGCATTTTCAGAGGACAAGAAACTCAAAGGTCAGGTGTACTGCTTCTTCCTATCTCACAGCGTGCACTGTAACAATCTGACTCAGGACAACTGTAAAAATCTGACTCAGAGTAACTGCTAATGACAGAGATATTAACAATAATAAAATTTTATAGGCCTTTGGGAGATTCTTCACTACAGACTTTGTAAATTAAACTTGGGGTGTAGTAGCTGAAACCTCTGACCTCTGGCTGCTCTTTAATACAAAACTGTGAGGACAGAACATAAAAGTTACTAAGAAGGAGGTTCAAAGGAAATGAGAGGAGTAGAAGATGTGTGAAACTCATTACCAGAGGAATTCAGAGAAGCTAAAAATCTCCATCAAGCCAAGGGGTGACTCAACCCCTTAAGGTAAGGAAAGTTAAGGGAAGAGAAAGTTAAGGGAAGAGAAAACATTGAAAGTTACCCAATACAAGAAGACCAAATGCATCTCAGGAAGGCTCACAAATTAAGCTGCAAATTAATTACTGGGAGAACTAATACAGGGAAATACTGTGTGCTTACTCTGTTTTCACTCTTCCCAAGGCAATTTTTTATGGCCCCTGCTGCAGATTGGATTTTGGGGATGGGGAGACTTTGGGCTAGTTCAGGATAGACTGCAGAGGATGATTCTGCCCTGGGAACATGGCAAATCTATTGCTGTAGGGTGAGGTGTCCTATTACTGCAAGGAAAGGAGAACAAGCACAAGGCTGGGAGACAGTGTGTCTGACCTAGCTCACTGCAGGCACTGAATTCAGCAAATCTCTCAGTTCAATAAATGATGCATGAGTCTAACTCAAATCTGAAACTCCTCTGTAAGCCAGCTCCCCTTCCCTAACACCCTGAGCACAGACAGCCTGGAGCACGTGCTTTTGCTCTTATCTGAACTGAGATATTTAAATGGTATTTCAAAGGCCTTTAAAGACAAAATGCCAGATTTATGAGAAGCTAACATGATCCTAGGGGCCAGATTCCCAACACAGCCTACTAGGCAATAGGACTCCCATTATGTAACCTCTGGACAGATTTCTAAGGAAACTAATTATTGAACATGCTGAAGTCTTTGATAACCTGGTCACTTACTTCACTGTCTGACAAAGATCAGTACTTTTGAAATCCTTTTCTCTGATTTCTGGCCTTTTTTTTTTTTTTCCAAGGAGCCAAATAACCCAGACCATCCCTTTTACCTCTCTGGTCCTTGCAACAGTAGATAGAAGAAATATATGCTTGGTTTACCCTGTCTCTTACTTCCCTGCCCCTGCCTGCAGATGTTATTGATGTGAAAGGAGGGTTACAGTTCAGCCACAGATGAACCTGCCCTGAGGAAAGGTTATATGTGATGACAGAGTAGGGAAACAGAGGGAGAAGTGAAAAAAAATACAGCAACTAAAAGGACAAGAGCATGAGACAGAGAGGGTGCCAAGTGAGCACAGGCAGGCAGCAACAAGCCATATTAATGGCAGTGTGATGATGAGAGCATGCTGTTTGCACAATATTGAGGGGAACTGCCCAAGCTCTACTGAGTTATTTTGAAAATAGAGGGGGAAATCCTGTCCTTCAGCATGATATGAAGCACGAGTGATTATTTTAGCTAGAAAAATCCCAGGTATTTATCCTAGTTTATTTATATTACACTTATGTGAAATATTCTAAGACCTCCTTAAAGTTAGGCACTATAAAAAAACACAGGGCCATGATACCACAGACATCAGGTAGGGGCTTCAGGTAGCAACATCATTCAGTTTTACAGAAGAGGTTGCCTATGCTTAGGGCATGAAATAATTCAGTCCATACAAAATGGTTGTGATAGGGCTTTATCTATCCAAGGATGCAAAATACCTTCTCAGACTCTTTCCCCAACAGCATCTTTCATCTATTGTTTGCTGAATTTTGTGGGGCTTTTTAGAAAACAGAAGGGGGTTTTGGAAATTCATGTAACCCCTCTGATTACAAAATATAACTGAAGGGATTCTGACTACACTACTAAAGGTTCTCTAGGAGAAGCACTTAATCTTCACAAGTGTTGTTCTTCTGAGGTCTTTTAAGATTCTTCAAGGTAATAAAAAGGCAGAAAGAATAAGTCTCTGCAACATACCACTTTTCATATATTAATTCCTTGTTCTGATATATTTGGGGATACAATCCATTACACAGACAATAATTTTGATATTATCTGGTTATCAGCAGGAATTTACCCTTTTCCAGTTCTTCTGCTGTTCCTGTATGAATCTATTGCTGAAGTTGTAATTTTTGTGTAAACTTAAAATCTGTGTCAGCCAAAAGTATGGTAGAAGCTGAACTTCTATGGCAAAATCTCAACTCAGCTGAGAAATTTCTATTTCTTATGCTCAACTCAGAGCCAGCAGAGATGTCAGGACCAAAACTCCACCTGCTCTCTGTGTTGCTCCCACATGTTCACACTAGGGAAGCACAAATACCCTTCTCTTTTTCACGAGTGCCATCAGGGCAGAAACAGAGAGGAAAAGAGAGCATCCCTCCTACCCTCCCATGAGAAAAACTCCTAAGCTCATGGGGAGATCTGCTGGTTATTTTGAGATAATGAAGTCATGAATGGTAAGCTCCAGCGAGCAGGTCCTCTTCAGCCATACATTAATCATTACTGTGCTCTACTGAGCCTTCTCAAGCTGCAGCATCTCAGTCTTTTTAGCCCTACCAGCTTTTGACACTACTGCCCTGGAAGGGAGGGACACAGTCACTGCCAGCCTTCCTTGGTAGCTATGTGGGTGGTCTGGGAGAGGAGACTCACCCATGGCAGAACAAATCTTCACAAGAATGACATCAATTGTCTTTTAAAAGCTCATCTCTAGTTAGGTGGCCTCCAGGATCATATTCTTACACTCTCCATTTCCTCGTTACATCACAAAATTACTAATACATCTGTACCTTACAGTTAAAATTTTAAAATCTTTTCCTCAGAAAAGGAGAGATGGGTTATCTTTACCTAGCTAGGGAAGGATGCACAGCATTAATCTGTCTGAGGCTGCTCTGAAACACAAAACCAGCTCAGCTGACCTAACTAATCAGAATTCCATTAAAACAGAAGAAAGGCTAGGCTGCTTACTTCTTGTGTTTCTGAATCCCTGAAACAATGAGGAAAACAATCCCAGCCACAATGAGACAAAGAACAACACCAAATACAATAATCCAGACAGGTGTAGAGGGTTCAACAGGAGGTGACAAGGTTGATGTTATCTTCAGGAACTGCAGTGTCTTGTCACTCAGTAAGAAGGCATTGTTGATTCTGTTCCGGTTCATCCTTCAGGAAAAAAACACAAAAAACCAGAAAAACATCACAAGTCTTTATAAAGGTATTTTACAAGTTTAAAATATAGTAGAAAATAAAAGGATTTTCCACGAATGTGCTGCAAGTACGGCAGAGCTGAATGTCATCCAGCATGATGAAGAAAAAAAAGCATGTTGTCTGCCTTTAGTGGGGATCAGCCTCTTCTCTCAGGCAACAGCACAAGAGGACATCGCCTCAAACTGCACCAAGGGAGGTTCAGGATGGACAACAGAAGATTTTTCTTCACTGTAAGGGTGATTAAGCATTGGAAAAGGCTGCCCTGGGAGTGGTGGAATCACCATCCCTGGAGGTGTTCAAGACACAACTTAGTGCCATGGTCTGCTTGACACAGCAGTGGTTTGGTCAAAGGTTGAACTTGATGACCTTGGAGGTCTTTTCCGACCTAAATGACTCTGTGATTCTAGGATTTTGTAATTGTGTGCTTCTGTGATGTTGGCAGGATTGCACAGACCTTTCCTATAACAGAGACCTCAGTAATCCATAGACACCCACACACTTCGAACACCAGACTTTCATATGCATTTATCTGAAAAACTGGGAAATACAGATGAGACCAGAAGTATGATATTATTATTTACTTCTGTTTTGAACCATGTCCTGAAGATATTGCAGGCTGTAAGCTCTAAGGCTGATTTTGTTGCCCTACTCGTGCAGCATTCAAGATTAGCACAGGAGTGGCAGATCTACCCTTCAATTGCAGGATTTATTTAGAGTTGCCCCCTAGTCCCTCAAACTGAACTATCCTGCATGTTATGGGCTGGTACATCTGCCCCTGCTGCTGTAGATTTTATTTGATCCATGAGGAACAGGATACAATTTGGTCTGGAAGAATCCACACCTATTGCCAACATGTCCTTCTTCCCTGCAGGATGCAGTATTACAGGCTGGGATTCCCAGGGTCCATCCGACCCCGGCTGCCATAGGTGTCCTGGATAGCGATGTCCAGCTAAGCACAGCCTGTCCAGGTCCCTCGGGGAGGCTCCCAGGCAATCTTAGCAAGCAGCTCAGCTCTTAAGTGAGATCAGCTCTTTGGCAAGTTCAGCTCTTCAGTGATTTCAGCTCTTTGCTTGCTCAGTGCCGTGGCAGACACAGGGAGAGAGAGGAGAAAGCTGTGTGAGGTTCCACAGCGGTGTCTTTACTGTCAGCTCGTGTGAAGGGGTTCAGTGACAGCTCTTCTGCTGAACTGGGCAGAAATGGGGGTTTATATAGGGTATGTAGGTTTTTGGAAATGGTCCAATAGCAAGGGTCGAGGCGAATATGACCTGTGGTCTTACAGAGAGATAACGAGGGTCCAAATGTGGAAGAGGGGCTTCTTTGGTGCAGTCATCATGACTGGGCATTTCTCATCTTAGGCAAGTGACTGCCAGGGAGGCCTTGCAGGGCCTCTGGCTGCTACAATGCAGCTAAAGGGATTTGTACTTTCCACATTTTTTCCATTTCCATATGAGAAACTGTAAGTCTGAAAAATATGCTTTTTCACAGAAGTAATACAACTGCTATCCTTTAGTGGATATCTTCACCCCTTTTCACTGCCTGTAAGCATTATACTGCCTGTAAGATATTTCTGGATCTAAATCTAAGCAGGCTTAAGAGGCTTCAGAAGTATCTTTCATCAGCTTTTTCAAAATGTTAAAAATTTTTAAGCAAACGGATTGCATATATTGGTCTTGAAAGATTGTTTTTGATAGCAGTTGTATGAATTAATGCAGCTCTTTCTTGTATACAATTCAATTTATTTACCACAAAGCAAGTATTTCCTAAGAAAAGATGCATGGGAAATACAGGTAAGATTTAACAAATTTCTCTTCTTGGAAATCATAATGTTTGGCTGTCCCTTAAACAGGAAGTTCTTAGCCTTAATGGAAAGTCAGCATTCCTGGACAGGACTGAAAGCCATGGCATGTTTTAAGACTCATAATTCCGTAAGCTGTCTGCCATTCGGAAAAGATTTCCTTACTGATATGAAAGGATCATTGTGAACAGCTGAAATAAGCATTGTTTAGCCCCATCTAATGGCTTGAGTTTCAGAATTATGTGCTGAAACATATGCAGGCAACTACAAGCGCATTTCATGTTTCTATATGCATAACTATATCTTGTGTATCTTTATGCAAAATATTGAGCATCATACAGAGCTCTGACATGGTTTACCTTCTTCTTTATTCTTTCTTTGTAAGAATCTCATACAACAAAATTCTAGTCCATGGCTAGTGTTATGTGCTATCCTAGCATGAAGAATTATAATAACGGTTTTGTAGATAAGCCTGCAATCATAAGCAATTGAACAAGAAGCATTGTAGTTTTATAGACCATTTTATTTCTTGTTTTTAAATTAGGTAGGAATTAAAATTTTTCATAAACAGCATATTCTTTATCAGGTGACAAACAACAGTTAAAAAACAAACAATAACAGCATCAAATTTCTGTGCCAAAGGGGGCACATAAAATACTTAAATAAATCAGCTTATGCTACTGAATGTATCAAAGAATAACAGAAATGCAAAACCCCTGCATTCCAGCACTCATTCAGAGAGTTTCAGTGAATAAATAATCTGCTTCCTCCACTAATGCTATGAAGCTATTGTTTGGTGTCTCTGTAGGAAATAGTTTAATCTGCTCATAAGATTAAATTAATCTTTCCAAAAGAATGCATACTCATTCATCAGGAATTAGGCATTACACTTCCATAGTGGTAACAAGAATTTTCAAGACAGAGCACAGAATGCCTGAAAACAAGGAGAACCATTTTCCACTCCATGCTTGAGAAATATATGTGCATTATGCTGCTCGAGGGACTCATCCCTATGAACCCCTGGTGCAGGATTTTTTTGACCACTGAAGTCAGATTATCCCATTTTTTTTTTTTTCCTTGTCAGCTCCACATACTTCCTTTTACTTGCTCTAGAATGTGATAGTAGAAGGCAAAGTGATTTGTAGTGCACTGTACTTTGTACAAGCCATGCTCAACTGGGATATTGACTGGCATTCTAGAACAAGCTGGTATGAAAAGAATGTGAGCATAAAATTGCTTAAGCCAAGCTGGGACACAGCCAGCTCTGCTCATGAGGAGTTCACACGAGCTCTTCTCATGTGAAAGCTGACTTCTAAATTAAGTCAGATGAACTGTTAGTGAGAAGCAGTGAAAGGGAGCCTACGGTCATTAACCCAGGTGTAGATTGCATGTAGCATGCAGTGAAAGCTAAATTCTATTTTAAAAAGTGTGCCCTTCCATCACCTGAGGAAGAGGGCTGTCTCACTGGGAAGTGTGGTGGGAGCTGGATGAGAGCGGCGTGCTGCACACTGGACAGCACATGGCAGGTGGGGCTCTGGAAGGGAGCTAGATTTCTTCTGAGTCTCCAGCATCTACAGAGACTTTCCAATGTTATAATCCCAAGGCTCACATTCTTTGCATTCTGTGGGACTGTTAAATATCCTCTAATCTCACATCCATTAAAGAGTACTGAGCCCTCAGTGCTTTAGCAACTTGGATTAGTTCATCCTTAAAGAGGCAGAGTGCTCATTCATACAAGACCCAGAGAGAGAAAACAACCTCCGTAAACACAGAAAAAAACATTGCAAAAGCAGTGATTGTACCTGATGGCTGCTTCCACCTCACTTCCAGGAACAGTTGTTACATTTTTAGAAGAATCTGTGACCACAAACCAAAAGGACACTCGGTCTGTCACGTTGCAGAGCAGCACATTGGAAATTCTGCAGACAGTTAAAACAAAAATCATCATTAAAGAAGCATGGAAGGAATTATTGAAATATTTTAGATTTTCTTAAAATATTGCTCTCAACTAAGGGGGAAAAATTTCTTATTTTCTTTCTTATTTTTTAAAAATCTAACAGTTAACACTCAAGAAAGAAATACCACTCACAGCATTTTCCATTTCCCATATGATTTTAAAGATATCGAGTTTATGAAGACCAAATGAGTCTTCAAGCAAATTTCTAAATCTATTACAGACTTTCATGGTCTTGGACATGTATTTAGCGTCATCAAATGGAAAAATACATATTAGAATAACAATCTATGGCTATGACAAAGGCCATATAATGGAGCAAGTGCATTGGTGAACTAAAAATTCTAGTTTTGATAGCAAATACCACAGGAACCCGTCATTGAGAATTGTCCACGTGATTGTTAAGTGAGTGCAGTTCTACAATATATATTTGTGGGAGGGAAGATCAGTGCAATTGATGTTATAGTTTTTGACATCTTTGTTCACAGACCCAGGCACAGAGTGGACGGAACAAGCTAAATTTAGTCATTCTACTGACACTGGCCTCTTCCTTTTAGCTTATGCTGTATCAAATATTTATATTTTCTATTTCAAAGGAAGATTGTTCATTTTTATATGAAGTTAAATGTGGAGGGGGGCACAGGCAGGCAGCTTCTCATGGCATACTAGGTAAATAGTGTGCAAAATGCCTTTTAAATGGGATTTTTTTTTTCTTTTTTTTTTTTCAGATTTCAACCGGTAAATGGTGGAAACACCAGAAAACCCTTCTGGAATGACACAATCGGGAGATTTTAAGCGAAGGAAGGGAAAGACAAACCGGGCCAGCCCTGCGGGGCAGCGCCACCTGCCGGCCGCGGGCAGCACCGCCCCGGCCCCGGGAGCGCGGAGCGGGACCGGGGGACTGGGGGATTGGGGGGGATCTAAGGGGATTGGGGGGATTGGGGGGGATCTAAGGGGATTGGGGGGATTGGGGGGGATGGGGGGACTGGGGGGATTTGGGGGTAAAAGGGACGGGAGGGAGAGAGAATATCCACATCTGGGCATTCCCCATCCAGGCAGGGATCTGCTTGTAAGGCAGATCACAGTGCCCAATTATGGATATTTTGTAGAAATGTTTTACTTCTTGATGAAAATTTCAAATGATGTTTTGGGTGCCCCAGATAGTGCAATAGATAATTTTACAGAGGTCTATCATCCATCCATCTATCTATCTATCTATCTATCTATCTATCTATCTATCTATCTATCTATCTATCTACCTATCTAATCTTTCTTTCTTTCTATCTATCTATCTATCTATCTATCTATCTATCTATCTATCTATCTATCTATCTATCTATCTATCTCATTAATCATAGAAGAGCTTTGTCTGAAAAGGACCTTAGAGATTTATTCCAACCCTCATGCCATGGGCAGTGAACCTTCTACTAGACCAGGCTGCTCAGAGCTCCATCCAGCCTGGCTTTGAATGCTGCCATGGATGGGGCATCCACAGCTTCTCTGGGCAACCTGTGCCACTGAGTCACCACCAGTAAAGAATTTATTACCAATATCTAATCTAAACCTACTCTTTAACTTTGAAGATATTCCCATTTGTCCTGTCACATGCCCTGGTCAAAAGCCCTCTTTCCATCCTTCTCATAGACTCCCTTCAGGTACTGGAAGATGCTATAAGGTCATTCCAGAAGTCTCTCTTTTTCAGGCTAAGCAAACCAAATTGTCTCATCTTTTCCTGGAAAGAGAGGTGCTCCAGTCCTTTGATCTCAGAATCACAGAATATTCTGAGCTGGAAGGGACCTACCAGGATCATTAAGTTAAACTCTTATGGGAGTGATCCACACAGGAATCAAAGTCACAACCTTGGCATTATTAGCACCATGCTCCAACCAACTGAGCTGATTTCATTTTGGCTCTTTGGAGCTTGCTCCAAGAGTCCCATGTCCTTCCTGTGCTGGGGACCCCAGAGCTGGATGCAGCACTGCAGGTGGGATCTCAGCAGAGGAGAGCAGCAGAGGAGAGCAGAACAGAGGGGCAGAATCCCCTCTCTCTTGCCCTGCTGGCCACACTGCTTTGGATGCAGCCCAGGATGCAGTTGGCTTTTTGGGCTGTGAGCACTCATTCCAGAGAGGTATGCAATAAAATGGAAAGCAGTGATTTTGCAGAGCCAAAATGACCACTTTTACCTCTCTAGAACAGGATCCATTTTACAGAGAATTTTTATGGATAAAAGAGGAAAGCCACCCTCTCAAATTTGAAAAGATGTTCACATCAGTTTCTGGCAACAGTCAGAAGATGAAAGCAAGTTTATTCTTTGCAAAACAAAAAGAAAGCACAAAATTTGCAGGAGAGGGCAAAAATGCCTACTTTTAGCTTGTGGCTGACAAACTCTTGCTGACTTCACAGAATATCTAAAATTGTAAATGCAGAGGAAGTTTTCTATCTCAATGTTTATAACAGTAGGACTCAAAACTTCATGTTGCCAAAGTTCCTGTGGTGGAATCAAAAACTGGGCCAGGTGGAAAACCTGAGTTGGTGTTGCCCTACAGACGTTCTTGAAATGGGGTGAGAATGATCCCCAAAGAGAAAGATAAGGCAGACAAGGACTGGCAGAACATCCAGACTGTCATACCCTGATTCAAAGACTCTTCAAGCTAGGGTCTTCCCTGAAGTCTAAAGTGCCAAAGTTTTTAGCATGAGACAAGGCATTCAGTCACCACAGGGGTAGCATCTCTCTGTAGAACAGAGAGCACTGAAACACGGGGCAGCAAGGATTGCACTAGGATATCTAAATTTGGCTTCTTTTCTTTTCCCTGTTGGTTCTAAAATCCTTCTCAATTACAAGCATCCAAACTGTGGTTTCACTGCCATCACTTTTTCATCCGTGGAATACAAATGCCATAAACCCTTCAGGCCCCAAAGAGAATAATCCCACTTATGAGAAGTTCAAAGGGGATGAGGAAACACCAAAACAGACTGGTTCAACAAGCACCAATGTGGCAATTTCTGTGCAGTGGTGCACTTTTTTTCCTCCCATGCCCTTTGCTTGCAGGTTTGATTCACAACAGAGAACCATTGCAACTATGCCATCACACTGTATAGATCTGAGAAACCTGGCTTCTCCAGGCACTAATGAAGGGTATTTGTAAATATATATGTGGACATTTTTTCCTTTCCTTAGCAGTTGATAGACTTTTGACATGGGATTATCATCACATTATTATGATTTATCATCAAAATGACAAAATCATTATTCGGCCTTATGGCACGATGGCAAAAGTCCAAAATTGCTTTTCCTTTAATACACCAGTGAGTAGAGTGCAGGAAACCCTGGCCATTCCTTGGCCTGAAACACCATCATTGCTCCTTATGGAGATTTAAATGATTGCTTAGGGGTAAGAAAGAGCTGTCAGAGAGTCAAAGGGAGCTGAGTGCCCACAATGGCTCATGGAAGAACCACAGTCCCCAAGTCCCACGTGCCTCTCTCCAGCTCTCCCAAAAGTATCACACCTCTTCCAACACAGGACTCTGCAGCTGCTTCTGCAAAGGAACATTATTTTCTTCCCAGCAGCCATGGGATCACTTTGATTTAACAGCTTTACTCCAGACTCTTATTTTGTTGTTCTAAATGGTCACAATATTTTTAGTATCAAAAAATCCTGTCTTAGGAAGATGGATAATGTTGATTAATTTTTTTTCTGGTCACTTTGCAAGGAAAATTTCAGCTATTTTTTTTTATCTATAAATGGAGGAAAGATGTACCAAAAATAGATTCTGTTATTTGAATGAAAACCACTGTGTTCACATTCTTTCTGCTCTAAAGATTAACTAGTCTCAGGCCCAAAAGAGATGCATATTATTTCAGATGAGTCACAGATTAGAGAAACCAGGGTTACTAACACAGGCTACAACAATAATTTTTTAACACTGAGAGATCAAAGGTTGGCTTATGTAGTTCAAGACCATATGCATTGAGAATCAATTGAAAGGTCATATATAAAGCAGGAAATAATGGGGTATTAATTCTCCACTGAAAAATATTTATTTGTAACTCTAGTAATAGTTACTGAGTAAGGTGATCGATTGTACCTTTCTTCTGTTTTGTGCAAACTTGAAAATTTGACAAGCCTCTCAAACATTAAACACTGCTCCATGATTTATTAAATTTCAGTTTGGAAATTAACTTTAGAGAGGTTGAGATGTAATGTGCAATCCTCCCCATTCTGTGCTGGGTCATTCAGTGGTTACACAAGGACAACAACAGAATCAACTGCTCTTTGCAGCAGCACATTGAAATGCTTGTCATCACAGCCTGGCTTTTATCCACGTTCAGTAACCTAACAAGAGGTGACTTCAAATATCAAAAATGATGGGGCAGACTGCAACAATGGTTATCCTGATCCACCAGACAAATTATTCTGGGGCTTGATACAGCTTGCTGAAGCTAATGCCATTTATGTCTCAGGTGGAAGTTAGTTGTGGCTGTGAGTTACTTCAAGGCTGTGGGTATGTTAGAAATTAATGGGATTTTAAAGCAGAGGTTTGTCACATCTAAGCTATGGCCACATGCATAATTTATATCCTGGTAGAACCAGTATTTAGTTACATAAAATAAAAGTAATCTTTTTCACAGGTTTTATTTTGACAAAAAAATTTAATTCACCAGGTGTAAAATTTCCTTAAGTTTAGATGCTACCAGAATGCATCTACAGGCAATTTGTTTGTCCTTACATGACAGCATAATTGGTCATTGGTCTTTTACATCTCCTGAAGAAAATTTGTTGGCATTTTCCTGCAACAGCTCATGTAGTGAAATGCAATTTATTTGCCAGCAGTGCAATCTAATTTATTTGCTACAAGCTCGTACTTGTGCCTCCCTCTTCACGTTCATGTGCACAGCATGCTTCTGTTCCCTCCATGGCTGCTCCCACACCTCCATGCCTGCTGCAGAGGGAAGGCAGCAGGACTGCACTCCTTCCTTGCAGCTGCCAGCCACAGGGCTGGGGAAAGGAGTGTGTTATTCCCAGGACATCTAATGGGATGGAGGCTCTCACAGCCTTCCTGCTCCCACGTAACAGGGGAAAGGAGTGTGTTATTCCCAGGACATCTAACAGGATGCCTTCCTGCTCCCAAGGGACAGGCAGATTATTTGAGGTGTATTGGGAGGTTCATCTAACCTCGCCATCACTGAACAGGGACTCTGAGGTCCCTTGGGATTTGAGAGAGATCTATGCATGGGAGACTTTTCAGCCTGCTGCTGAGAAGCTGTGCCAGATCTCAGAGCTCTACAGCTCTCCTTCAGGTGACATGCTGTCTATAATGACCCCAAAGGTGTCTCTAAGTCCTACATGAGTTACCAGTTATACCTCCAATATACACCCTATGAGGGGTATACCCAAGTTATACCCCATGAGAAAGTCTGGTACCATCTTAAAAAGAGGTAAAGGTCCTCACAGCTGGCTGATTCCAAATATTATGCTGACTTCTCTGACCAAATTAGTAGCAGGGAATTATTGATGTGTGCAACACCACCTTCAAACTGGAGTAACACTGGCATCATATTTGTCCAAAGAAAAACTCTCTGGATAGGAAACTGAATTAATGAGTATAAATTCTATGATTGCCCAGCATGGGTACAGGTAACTGCCATTAAAACTTCTACTCCTTCCATATTGGCTTGATTTTTTCCCATTCCTGCAGCAACCTTATTTTAATCTGCAGAAAACCACAGTTCTTGAAGAGGAAAAATATTCTCTTCTGACAGAGGATTTTTGAAATCATCTGTGTGAAAGCAGCACGGCTTTGAAGGAGGAGAATAATTTAAAAAAAGGACCCAGAACTAAAATAAGTATACAAAAGTAAATCTTTATGGATCATATGCTGAATGAAAACTCTGCTGCCTTGAAAACCTGAGAAAAGTCCTACATAATCACCTGTAATTAACTTTTATCTTGAACTCATTTTTTTAAGTGCCATTTTAATTGGGTTGAGTAGCACACTTGGCTGTTTTTGTTAGGCTTGATATAACAGCTCTTTTGCTCAAAGGAGACCACCTCTGAGGAATAAAAATTAAACAGCAGGACTCAAACACTCCTGTCACATGGAGGGGGAAATCCCCTTTCATTTAAGAGAAAGGCAGCAGCCCCAGTAATCATCATGTGACTGAAGTTAACTAATATCTTTTCAAATGTGAAATATGTTTCACCTGATGCAATGACAGCCTGAAGCAGTTTTATTTTTAAGTAATTTCAAAATCTTATCCTTGTTAGACTACCAGAACTGTCAATCTTTCATTTCGGATTTAAAAAAATAATAGGCCTATGGAAATGCATTTACAAGGTTTTTCTTTTAAGAAAGATAAGAACATTGTGAAAATACAGTTTGCTAAGTGCTCTGTCTAATCTGGTATCTTGTTTCATAGAGTAGCAAGGATCAGTAGCCGGCAAAGAACATTCAATACCTCAGGGTAGATTTAATCCCAAAACCAATTAAGGCTGATTTCTATCTGCACTACAACATCTGAAACTTTGTCATGGTAGGTAACTCAGCTGCTGGGATACCAGGAATAGGAAGGCAGAGCACAGCGCTGGCATAGCTATCCACCTCCCAGGTCTCTGAGCAGCTCATCTCAGCACACTGCTGCAGCTGAGCTCCAGGGAAGATGCCCCAGAGCTGCTCACTCAGAGATCTGTGCTGCCTTTCCTGACCTCAGTGTGTTCCTTCCCCAGTGTGTTCCTTCACCTCCTCCCACTGTGGTCTCCAGAAGGTGTCAAATCTTCCTGCAGCATTCTGCTGGAAGTGAACTGGCACCATCCCACTGAGACCCACAGCTGTGTCACTTCACATCCACAGGGACACTGCTTCAAAGACTGAACATTGTTAAAGATGGAAACAGTGGGATGTTCAATATGTATCTGGGTGTCAGAAGTATACTAGAACAGCCTTCTTTTTGAATCTCTATATAATGATTTCTACAGCTTGGTACAGCAGAGGACAGGTCACTACATGCAGCATTGTTAATATGTATAAGGCAAATCCAAGCAGATGCTTACTGAGTTGTGCTCTTGCTAGAATATCTTCTCATTGCAAAAGCCACCATTGCTCTGAAGAGGTACTCTTCATTAGCATCCCAGGCGTACTGTAAGGGAAGATGAAAAATAATTACTTTCAGCACCCGTGCTGGCAGTGCACAGAGGGAAAAGAGTTGCTGAACTTGAAATGCTGTCTTGATCAAGAAAATGAATAAATTCTCTGGTTGTGCTAAGAAAATAAATGCCCATTATTTAGTGTGAACAAAGGACTTTTCTAATGGAAAAAAAAAAAAGTGCAATATAATATATAATATAAATAACATAAACTGCAAAGAATGTTTCCAAAAATTGAATTAACTGAATATTTCTGAAAGTTGACCAAACTGGAGATGTAAAGTTTATTATACCAAAGACTAGGCATATTACTAGTATTCTCCCCACACAGCTGCACTCATAGCCTTGCCTCTTTTGCTGTAGAAACACAGTTAAAGTAGAAGTTTTAAATCTACCCTTTAAGACTATTTGGCTCTGGCCAAAATTAATAATTTAAAAACCCTAATATTTAAGGTGGTCTCTGGAAGTTGGACATTAGGAGACCAGGAAATAAACTGAGATTGCAGTCTTATTGCTGCACACTGTCCTGATTACAAGAAGATTTAACTATATTAAAAATTATTATACTGCACATGACATAAAAGAAAGAAAATAGCATCCTTACTATTCAGTAAGAAGAAGAATGTAGGTTCCAAAAACTGTTCTCTGTTGTCTTGATGAAAAAACATGCTTTCATAATTTAAGTTTTCTGAGACAGTTTCACTGGGTTCCTCTGGGCTTTCATTCACATATGCAATTCTACTGACCTGTAAGAACTGCATCTATTACATTCTTTTAACAGGAGCCATGACTAGGCATACTGATTGAATTTCTTCCCCTTTCAGCAGATTACAAAGATTATTAGTTTCTTGGAATTATATTAAGCGAGGTTAGAAACAGCTTTCCTCAGTCAGTCAGAGCACAAATCTAATCTTTAACTTTAGCATTAAAAAATTTTTAACTTCAGCATTAAAAAAATCTACTCTGTAATCATCCAAATCAGAAACCCAGTGGTGTGGGCACTTAACTCTGTTGTCAACTTGGACATGATCTTTTATAACACATTCAAAAAACATCAAAAAGCAATAGATAGCATTAAAAATTCCAAATCTTAATTCTGGTTTTTAAATTCTGATTTTGGGTGCATGGAGATGCAAACTCTCCACGAAAAAAAGAGAAACTAACTTTCAGGTATCTGCAGCCCTCATGCTGTACTGGCATCCTGGGAAACTGAACAGGGAAGAATGCAGTCCTTTAAAGGGCAGAAGGTGATCTTGTTCATTATCCCTCTCAGTTCCTGGGCCTCACGCTGGGCTCCTCCCTATTCTTGACCCTCCCCCCCCCCTTCCTCCCTGGGGGCTCCCCTGTTGGGGGGAAACTCTCCTAGAGCAGTTCTGTGTCAGGAAAAGGAGAACTACAGGACTTTTTTGGTCTTCAGCTTGTTGTTTATTGTTATCTTATCAAAGTTTCAGCACGCTGTCTGCACCAGACTTTGCACGCAGGAAAAGCACTGCAAAATGGCTAACAATCTCTTGTTAGAAGGTCTTTTAAGACTAAACTACCCAATTAAGAAATGGCACCTAGATTATTTTCCCTTTTAACCCAATAACTGATCCCTCAAAGCCCACAATGCGGACTTTTCTGTCCACTCACAAGACATCACCCAAACCCATGAAGAAGAAGGAAGAAGGAAGAAGGAAGGAGAAGGAAGAAGAAGGAGCTCGGTACAACATTGAATGCCCTCCATCTTGTTCCCATCTGCAACATGCTAAAAATCCCAAAACCTAAATTTCTCACCCAATTGATATACTTTACTACTGTATAATAATCTATTTCACACTTTTGTGGACTCTAGTCTATCTTGAAGTCTTGGAAGTCTTTCTCCATGTGAATGAGGGTCAAAGTCAGTGCTGCTGACTTTCTCAGAGTGGACAGAGAAATACTCCCTGTGCCCTGGGTTTCCACATCTCCCCCTTCTGTTTGAACCAAAACCACTCCTTTTACAGCCTCCTCCATCACCCATCGGATACACTAAAGTAGGCGTGGCACAAATATTAAAAGGACTGCGACACCAATCAGTGCATATACACCTATCTTCAAAAGGTCCCTCCATGCTGGTGCAACATCAAACACACTGAACACACCATCCAGCCATGATGAATGTTGAGTGAAATGGGCTCTCTGAGATGGGACAGGACAGAGACAACAAAGCTGAGGCAGCAGACAACTTGAGCAGCATTGAAGTGCAGCTGCACTGCTGAGAACCTGGGCTCTGACTCACCACTCTTACCTCGTAAATGAAGGGGGTTGTGAGCTTATTGTGATAATGCTTCCCAACCTGTGAACTTCAACTGAAAAAAACCCCAGAGAGAAACTCTTTGGAAAAAAGTTATAAAAGTCTGTGTTTTGAGCCCACTGCACTGATGAAAATGTGAGAGTAATGAAAGCAACGAGTACTGAAAGAAAAAGAGTTAATGTAGTAAAGGAATTAATACAGATCAGAGCCATAGAACTATTTATTATCATTTTAAAGATATCTGTATTTAAACCATGAAGCACAATTTGCATTACTAAAAGAGAAGATCTGTTCTTTCTGTGTGTGGCGCTATTGACTGAATCCCTACATGCCATCTGCAGTCTTTGAGAACAGGTCCAAAAGGACAGAAAAAATTGTAATTTGTTAGCCAGTGAATTAAACCAGCTGCAGAGATAATTCAATCAGTTGTCTTGAAAATGGATAATGATGAAGGACACTCCATTTCATGCTCATGTGGACACAAATACAATGCAGCACTACCAAGTGCATATACTCAGTATGTTTATGGTCAGTGCAATGCATATATACATGCACAATTTATCACAGTTCTCATAAATAATGCAGTAGCCTAGCATTTCTTTAAATCAGAGTAACAAAAAGGGTATCTCAAATCAGGGAAGATAATTTGTAGTGAGGAATTACAGGCCCAGTTGAAAGAGTAGGCACTCTAAGAGTAAGAAAAGAGACAGAATAAACAGAAAACTATAAGAAAGAGGGGGAGGAGACTGGCAGAGAAAGCTCAGAAGAAATCAGGGTCTGCCTGAGTCAGGAGAAGATATTGCAGAAAGGCGAGAAACCCTGAGAAAATGGAAACTAAACAGGAAGTAGAGGAGATGGAGATGGCTGTGGGCTTCAGGTGAACAAGAACCTCTGAACATGATTGCATACAGGAATATACAAGGGGGAGGCAACATAATGAAGAGGAAAAGTAAGGCAAGAACAACTTTAAGCTAACTGTATGAACTCAGGACAAGTGGGAATGACTTTCCAGAAAACAGTTTCTAATCAGCAGCTTTCAAATTTGAAACCTTGAATGATTTAGATTGGAAGGGACTCTGAAGATCATCTAGTTCAACCCCCCTGCCATGGGCAGGGACACCTTCCACTAGATCTGATTTGTTCTACTGTGGGGTTTTATCAGCTTCAGGTCTATCCTTCAAATGCAAAGGCCTGGAGCACAACTCCAGGAGTGTGGATGACTGAGGATGTCCCTGTGCAGTGCAGCTGTTGATGCACACTTTCTGCTGCTATAGAGGAAACATTAAATATCATTTGCAACCATATTTAAATATCATTTGGAACCACATGCTGTAAACATAACTGTTATGAATGAAACACTACATGATGGTATCAGAACTATTAAATTTATCATCTTCATTGTTCTACAAAGGAACCAACACAAAGACATTGGCTGAGTTGCACTTTATACATTAAGGAGGAACAGAATTGGACACAGCTAACTGTGAAAGGCAGTCTTAAATGCCTCTTGCAGAATGAAGAGATGATGAGATAATGTGTAAAAGATGATGAGTGTAGGATGCTCATGGGGTGAAATGCTGTAATAGTGCTGTAAAAGACAAAATTTAAGATATAAGAATATAATATTACAAGATTCCTCTGAGCAACCTGGCCTGTTTTCAGTGTTGACCCAGCTTTGAGCAGGAGAGGATGAGCAACAATCCAAGGTCTCTTCCCTCTTGAATGGTTCTGTGCTTAACTATACAGCCATTCAGACTGCAGAGTGGCTACAGACACACAAACACACTTCTGGATTCCATCTGGTGGCAAAACACAAGGTATATGTCAGCCTTCCTCCTCTTCATCCTCTACCCTGGAAGCAGCCTGAATGCATGGGCCAGAAGGGAAGTGCACTGTCCACTTCAGCTGGCTGCAGCCCCTGAGGTGCCAAAGCTTTGACTCTTTTGGTGAAAATGAGTGATGACACCAAGTTACACAGACTTGTTAATGCCCATCACTTCTTCTCTCTCTCTAGGTGCCTCTATCCCTTTTGAATTAACTCTCTACCCCTCTGCTGGCTCCATGAAAAGAAAGCAACTAGTGACTAACAGCTATTCCAGAAGCCACTCATAAAGTCAAAACCATGCTCAGAGAGGCTCATAAATTACTTCCACTCAGGCCTACAGGCACCATGTTTTCTCCCACAGATCAGCAAACAACACCTCTGTCAAGTACACCCATTATTTGCAAATAAAATGATAACAGCTGAATACCTACTGCATCAGAGCTGGTCTTTCCATCTGCATTGTGATAAGAACTAAATAAATACACCAAATAGAACTCTCTGCCTCAGAGTACAGCTTACCTGGTGAACAAACAAAAAATGGTGTCCTGTTTTCATCACAGGGGATGGCATGCACTACACTACATGTGAAAAGCTGCACCAAGCTATTTCCTATGCCCCTGAATGTACACTGGAGTTATCCTGCCACTCCTAGAGAAAAATTCCCACAGTATCAGGGCTTTCTGTTATCATGGAGCTTGAAGTGACCTGGAAATGAACCAAGCTGACTGTGTCCCACTGTGACACAATGACAGTATTACACTTTTCTTTGCTAAAATAAACAAGTAAAGTGCCCCAAATTCTTTAACAAAAATGAATTTCAGTTTCATAGTAGTTTCAGTTTTCAATTTCAGTTCATTCACAGAGAAAACTGCAATGGCTATGAAAAGGAACTACTACTACCACCTGTGTACTTAATAAATTGTTTATTATTTGTGGATGATTTTCTATGGCATCATACCACTTTCAGCAAGCTGTTGTTCTAAAATGCTGTTCTTGACTGTCCCATTCTTTGAGCTTTCATACACTTTGTTCTATGACATAAACAACTACAAAAAAACAACAGACTCCTCAGTTATGGCTTTTTTCCCATCAATACAAAGAGCCTTCAAGGATAATGATTTGTCTCATACCCTTTTTGAGTGAAACACACACAAAAAAAATATAAATGATCAAACAACCTCCCCTTATTTTACTACAGCTGGGAAAGAAAATGGCACTAAAAGAGGGCATTACCGGGAACTGCAATTTTTGTTTTTTGCTACTATGTTGAACAAATATTAAATCAAAATATTAGCACTTACCATCAAGAGGAGCTTCAATAATTATTTTGACATCTTTTCAGCAACAGTATTACTCTATTTTTAATGATTAAAAAAACCCCTAGGCTTGCACTACTGTTTAATTAAAGTCTCCCACCCAAGAGAATTTACTTCACTATGAATTTTGAAACATTTACTTTAGCGGGTCTCTAGAATATTTTTTACTTTGTCTGGTTTATAAAATTACCTGTGAAATTTCAATCCCTAGTAATGTTAGTTTAAATTACCTGATCTTTCAGGATAATTTTAGAACAGCTTCTCCAGTCATAGGGAGTTTCTTGTATAACCAGTCTTCTAAAACATGTAACCTACTGCTTTTTGTTTCCCAGGGCACATAACATGAGCAGACACCAGACTTATAGTGGACATGACTGTCCAGGATGTTTTATACCTAATTATCTGCTGAGCCCTGTTAACATGCTGTGGATTTGCTCAAAGTATTCAAAACTACTAACAGAGTATAGGGCTCTGACATATTAAACAGTGCCTTAGATCAGGAAGGACCACTCAGTCATCTAATGTCCCAATCTCTTATGCATCTCTCATTGCTCACACCAGTATTTCTACATTAAGCCAAAAGATCTGAATTAAGCCAAAGCATTTCATGAGACAAGCCTGGGCACCACAGGCAGAGAAGAAAGGCCACAATCTGAAGGGAATTGATGAGATATGCTTGATTGATCTCTACAGTTAATGCTTGTCTGAGAGACTGATATAAAGTCCCTTTTCATAAAGACCTAAAAATATTTTCCTGCTTCTCTTCCTAGACATGCTTGACTTTACAATTAGCACTCCTGAGCAGAAGTGCTTTTCCCAAAATACAGACTTATATTTATGCAGCACTTCTCATGCATAAATTGTAACATCCCTACTGCTTTTCCAGGGTGGAGAAACAATCTTTGACCAGAAAATTATCTTTATGAACAAGCAAGATTTATTTTTCTCCTAAAGGATGACATTTTAAGGAGTGGGCTAGTCAAATCTGAAGAAACGGATACCTGGATCATGACTTGAGCAAACCATTACAATTAACACTGCAGAATAAATTGCTTGTGTTGCATTCACAAATTTTATAGTATACATTACTTCTATTTTGGCAGATATTGAGTTAGGAAGAATATGTGAAGATATGTTACTTACTGCATTATCTCCCAAAGCTGTTTTGATACTAATCCGTACTTTGAAAGCATTCTGTGCATCTGACAAAAGAGAAAAAAGCAAACATATATTGTTAGTCACTCAAAATAGGATTTTAAATAATTTACTTCCCTGATTATTTCACAAATGTGAGTTTCTAAATGTGCCTTAAGAAATAACATGTTTAGGAGAACAGAAGTTACTTGCATGAAAGAAAGTCCAACAGAGTCTCAATGAGGTTTACAATGACCTCGTGAAGTGAGACCAGCTTCCATACTTAATTTGCAAACTCATAAAAGAAGTGAATGCACAGCATTTCAATCTTCAAACTGAAGGCAATCAGTTAAAATAAAAATCGTAGAAGCTGGCAGCTTTGTAGTCTAAACTGATAGCTACTTTACCTAAAGAAAGATAGAATCAGCTCCAAATCTTACCTGGCTTGCAGAGCTCAGCATGAGCAATGGCAACTACAGAAACTAAAAGCAGCAAAGCCCGTAACATCCCGTCAGCATGGAAAGATTGAGGCAAAAATCAGTGAGTCTCCCCTGTAAAGTACTCTTAAACTTTGTGTGACCCAGGATTAAAGCATCAGGAGCACCAAGTGAGCGACCAAGTAAAAGGTTTAATAATTAACCCCTGTTATTTTAGCTAAAAACAGGCACTAGAAACAACTGTCTTCTGTTAGTTATTTACTACTGTTCTTTGTAGTAAAAAAAACAAAACAAAACAAAAAAAAAACCCAAAAAACCAAAGAAACCTGCAACAAGTATTTAATTTTCCTTCTTCCTTTTTAGAAAAACACAACATTTTACAGTGTTCCAGGCCAATCTTTTTTTCCTCACAGGCATAGTGTCAGACACACGAGGTGTCTGTGGGATGTCACACCAGAGCAGCTGTCGACTGTTACTCACAGCAGGCAAATCTGAAGCTTGGCTGCTACTAGATCTCGAAGGAAGCTGCCACCGGTCTTCCATGGGAAACTGTCTGGTCCCACTGAGGGTCCTTGAGGATAAAGGAAACCTGGGCACCCTTTTCACCTCACCAAAATAAATGTGTGATGAATATAGAATACCTGGACCCAAAAAACAGGGCTAAGGCATTGCCCCTTACTTGCCCTTGAATACACAGCCCTTGGGCATAGTGCCATGTGCCCCCATCCCCACCCCAGCCCCACTCCTGTGTCCTTGCTCAAGCCCAGCAGAGCAAATGCCTTGTTCTACACAAAAACACCCCACATGTGAGGCGTTGCTTTGCATGAAAAGAACTGTTATATGTAGGGAGAAATACTTTTTTCATGTCAGAGATTTATTATGGTATCAGCTAGAATAAGCAGAGGTGCAATAAAGGACTTGGTAGGAAGCATGTTGAAAAGGAACATATTCATGTTGTGTAGACATGACCCAGTGTGTATACGTGTACACACACATGTGGAAATATTTTAATGCACTCTGCACTATTAATCAAATGTTTACCAAGACAAATAAATAAATGTGGAGGAAAAATAATTCAGAAACTGAAATGTATTGCAGGTATTTGAACAGTGTCTGCAATCTAGGCAGCAAAACAGGATTACTTTAATTATGTTGCTGTATTCCCTGTGTAGCCACTCTGATTAATGGTTAGTTCCTATCTTGAAGATCACTTCAGAATTACTTTCAGTGGTCCTTTGGCAGCAAGAAGTGTGTCTTGAGACTGCAAATCCGAAGAGCTTCACACAAATGACAAACAATGAGAAAATCTGACTTACTGTGGGGCTGAATTTTTGAAAACCAATAACCAATATTTACTGCATTAGATACTCATTCTTTCAGGTAACAGACAACTTGCTGTTTCAGTAATTTAAACTGTTTATAGAAGCCACTGTTAAAAGGACTTGATAGCCCATCTTTAAAAGTCATTCACTAAGCTGATTCCCAGTCACCTCTTTGCTCTCACTAGGCAGCCCAGTCTGGGTACAAAACTATTGGATACATTATTGGCTTAGATGTTCAATCTAAGCCTATGAAAACAAAAAAGTGATGCATTCATTTCTAATGACAGCTTAAATTAACATGCTGTATATATGCATATCAAAAGGAGCCCACAGAAAAATGTACAGATGTATGAAGTACTATCAGGTTTCTGTAGCATTTGTGGCTTAAAAAAAATCTTAAAAGAATGTGAATGTAACCAGTTTCATGATAAATTCATGTGCATGGCTTCAATAGCGAACACATGAACTTTTTTGTACCTTTGAGGAAACACGGAAGAACTTGGGTAGAGAGAAGAAAAGCCAAGCACTCTTTCCCTGCTGCCAGAAGGCAAATGAAACTGAGCGTGATACACAGCATCACCACTTCTCCCTGCTGTAAAACATCACAAATCAGTTCTGCCTCTCAGAATTGCATGGGGCCAGTGTCAAAGTGCAGCAAAGGGACACGGCACCCAGCAGGAACAAACTCAGAGGACATGACCGGATTCCCTGATCAGGGCTGCTGAATTCTAGCCAGGATGGCTGATTTTCCCCAATTTGTCTTGCTGGCAAGAAGCAAGACAAATGATTTTTTCCAGCAGAGAGGGGAGGAGGCCAGGAGAAGAAGCAGTGTGATAAACATCCTAGCTCAGAGCTCACAGGGAGAGCATCGTGCAGTTGATATATATGTGCACAGCAACGTGGATGTGTGCCAAATGCATCCATGAAGGCCCATGTGCGTACCAATTGTACATGCACAGTGTACTGCACATAAGCAACCAATTGCTACACATCTATAAATCTTTTCCCAAAGCCAGCACATTTTTTAAATAAGCCAGGTGGACACGCAAGACGACACCAGGTGTTAGTAGGAAGATAGCGTTGCTTCAAATTAATTGTATTTTTAAATTCTGTCTTAAAAAGCACTGCAACTTTTCAGTTTACAGATGGAGTATATCTATATAATCTAAAAAGACAGCCAGACATTCTCCCACCTCATATCTTTGTAATAATTCTGCATGCATGGATAACTTTCTGCCCAGACTCTCTGCTCCCATTTTGGTCAAATACGCAGCGCTGTTTAAGCATTTGTTTGCCACTGATTAATCAGTCAGGCATCAGTCTGCTTGAATAAATTACAATCCTCAGGCACATATGCAAGGTATGTTTTTAACTGACTACTTTGTGAGGTGTTAGATTTCTAAGTAGTTCCTCTTTTATAGTATCTTTGTTTTTCCTAACTACTGTGGAGAAACAAGTCATAGCCATGAAGAATTTCATTCACGATCTGCATTCCAGAAATATCACTGAATTAGTGCAAATAATTATTTCTCTTATTGTACCAAATGATTTTTTTTCTTTTTTCAATAGTTTTGATCTACAGAAGTTCATGTGTAATCTGTATGTACATATTTAAAAGTGCATCAAAATTTGAACTACAAAAAAAATCTGGAGAAATTTGTTGAAAAGTCAAGAGGCATATGACTTGCTAAAACAAACAAACAAATCCCCTCAATCTTCTCCATGTGATTAGCAATGTACTTTTTCTGCTCCTTTCAGTGTCTTTGAAATGGAAAATCCCAGGGAAGTAAAATATTGATAGCTATTGTATAAGTTAATTAACAACTATGGCTAAACTTAACCTCAGTTTTCAAATTTGACAAATTAACAGCTTTAAACTCTGAGGAAGTTAATCTTTAGTCTCAAAGAGTTGTGTCCAATTCTTACGAGGAAAGAGTCAATGTGTGACTGTCAGCATTAGTCACTCATGGAAACGTACCTGATGAACTGCAGACCTGAACAGCAGTTGTGCACAGTGCTGTGCAGTTCCCTGGGTGCAGTGGAAATGACAAACACTGCATGTCCTTTCCATGGGGGAACAGGGTGTTGAATGAGGACTGCCACCACCGTCATCACTGTAACAGTGCAGAAGTGACTTGATTGTCACCAAGTTTTATCAGTGCTCACAGAAGCAGACTGTGTGAGAAATCATTTAGCTCTCAAGACAGTAGTGCAGGTGGGGGAAGGATGCACTTGCCAGCATTCCCATATTCACCTTGGAATGGGCACTTTGCAGTGGAAAGCACCAGGGACAGCCCACAGTGGGGCTGGCACTGAGGGTGAGCAGAGACTTCCAGCATGGAGGGGGTGGGAGGATGGTGCTGCTGCCACCACTTCATCATCACATTTGTATAATAAATGTCAACACACCAAGAAGTGTCAATGAAAACTGACCTATTCCAAACCCACACTTCCTGGATGTCTCCTACTTAGCACATATCTTCTGGGTCCAACAAATCCAAGTTAGTGATTTGACTGCCATTGTATTCTCTTATTTCTATTTGCATCATCCAGGAAAAAACCAAAACAGATGCACAATCCCATGAGGAAAGGTCCCACTCTTCTCCTGGAGCATATGGCAAATACTATGGTGAGGACAACTTTTACATAATCTGTATGCATATCAAATATAACTTTCTTTTTTCTACAGAGGGCTTGGGCATACAACAGAGTGAACCCTTCTTATCTGCTTACATCAGTCTACAATGACAGAAAATACAAGAAATGGAAACCAGAAGAGCCACGGGGAAAGGAAGTTCAAATACGTGCCAGAGAGGCACTGCACTTCAACACAGAGCTGCTCTCCTGTGCATGCAGAGCTCTGTGCATACATCTTGAAAGGCACACAGAGATTTATAATGCAATGTGGGACATCCATGGTAGTTACTGCATGGTATGTAACTACAAGTTGTAAGATAAAAGCTTCTGTGTTCTGGGCTGTTCGGTACAGCACAATCTGTGTATCCAGTATTGACCTTATGAGAGGGTTCATGTTGTACTGGACCATGAAGGAGCATTTTTCTTTAGAAAATATGGAAGAGTGAGTTCCAAAACCTGAAGGCTGCCACAAAAATAAACTATGCTTATGGAGGTGTATGGTCTATAATTCCAGTGTGAGGAATAAGAGCTACTGACTGGAATGCAGTGTTACTTTCGATATGTGAATGGCTCTTGCCTGGAATTGCTGTATCTTTTTCTTTCTGGCACTCAATCAATTAAATTATATGAAACTCTGCACCTGCCTTGAAAATCAAGCTGCTATATTTATATAAACTAACAAAATAAACAAAACTGAGAAAAATGCAACTATTCTATTCTTGTTTTGAAGAGAATGACAGCTTTTTCCAGAATCATTCTGGATATCTGAAATAGCTGTTATGTTTTGTGTTTTCTTAAAATGAGATCCTACTTTTAATTGCTGAAGTATATACGCTTAAAATGGTGCCTTCCCCAAGAACATTGGAAAAATGCCATGATGAAATGTAGCATACCAAAAGAAAGAAATGACAGAATTTCTCAATTTAGACTCATAAATAGCTTAAAGGGAGGTTAATATGGTACTTCCTCTGTTGACGGGCGGATGAAAGTTATAATTTCTTAATGAAATAAGATTATGAAACACATTTGGTTGTTTTTTTTTCAAAACTTTCATGGGTGTCAATGGTTCATCAGTTGTTAAATGCCCAATACTGCCATCTTCTGTATCCAAGAAACAGCAAATTATCTGTTACTTTACATGTATGTTCTGCACAAGGAACAGTGGAAGTACTACTGATGACAAGTCCTTCATTTTAAGAGAGTCTAGATCTGGCACACGGTTAAGTAACAGCAAAGAGTCATGGTCTGAATATTCATTGGTCAAGTGGCAAATGTAACTGCTGACTACAGCAGTCACATGCCTGCTTTGAATAACTTCACTGAGCTTCAGAGTAGGAAAGAGGATGCTCATTATGCTGTTAATAAACAGCACAGTCAATTAGTCAGATTTTGACAGAGCCTGCTGTGGTGTGCTTCCTCGTCAGCAGCTCCGGCTGTTTCTGCAGTGTTCTACCTCCAGGATACAAGAAATAAGCTCCTACACCGTGGTTTAGGAGAATAATTTATACCTTAATCAACAATGTACATTATTAATAGCCATGCAAAACATGCCCAAATGAAAGCTACAAGCACGCTGCCTCTGAAGGCTGCAATCTATCACTCCTGTCACAGAGGAATTGATTACTGACAACTTGCAGATTTCCACCCATCACACCCATGAGGGTCTATGTGGAATAGTTTCCTGCCATGAAATGCATTTATAATCAGGTCAGGTACAATGCCTCAGAGACAATGATGGGAATATATTTGCAGTGTGAGCTAAACTGATCAATGCACTGGAACTGTGGCTTCCCTCAGCTCCAAGAGCCTGTGGGGCAGGGCAGCCATGCCCACAGCAGCCAAGGGACACACTGCAAGTTCACCTCACGGCAGGCACCGAACAGCCCGCTCCCACACACAGCTCCCAGCACCAGCCAGGCAGCTCACACACGGAGCACAGGCTGGGGACATTACAGTCAGGAAAGGCCGAGGGAACTGGGCCTGTTCAGCCCTGAGGAGACAGCCGAGAGGAGACCTCATCAACACGTGTTAGAAAGGTGTCAGAGCATGGGTCCAGCTGTGGACCATATTCTCGTGCTGCCGAGCAGAACAGGCAACAGGCAGAAACTGATGCACAGGAAATTCCACCTGAACATGAGCAAGAACTTCCTTTACTGTGAAAAACGCCAATCACTTGCTTTAAAATTTTAAAAGTTTAATAGTAATAAAATGGTTATAGAGTAGTAAGAATTTAGACAGAGTTAGGACAATGAAGGACAATAAAAACAAAGAAATACGGACAGTCTGGATGCTTTGTTCAATACAGCATGACTGCTAACAAAGGAACAACCCTTAAAAGTCATAGCGCTTTGCATATTCACATGTCTCATACATGATGCAAATATTCCTTTCAAACTAGGAATTTTCCTGTTTTCTGTCAACTCTCCCCTCATCCTGTAGATCAATCCTTTCGGTTCCGAGGTGTCCAGATGTTGGGTACGGTCCAATGAAGAGGCCATAAAATCCCATCTTAGAATTTTTGGGGGTCCTGTTGCTGTTACCTCTATGTGAACAATTTCTTGCTTCTTATCCCTTCCCTGTGCTGGTCACAAAAAGGTATCTTAAATCACATAGCTTCTATTTTAATATTACACTATAGCCTAAAACTGTACTTACCACACTTCTTTCAAAAGATTAATAAAACATTACTAAAAAAGGACTAATACAACGTTACTTTCAAACATAACGCATATAGTATTCATTTTAATACTGCGAAGAGCTAATCATAGAATATTCAATCTTTTTCACGTTTACTGTGTGTGACCAAGCACTGGAACAGGTTGCCCAGAGCGGGTTGGAGCCTCCCTCACTGGGGATGGTCCGGACCCGCCCGGACACAGCGCTGCGCCCTGTGGTGGCCCCGAGCAGGGAGGCCGGGCACATGAGGCACTGCGCTCCTTACACCCGGCCCGGTTCTGTGAGGGGAGAGCTGGGACGGGAGCTCCCGGCGCCGCCCTCAGCCGCGGCCCCGCGGCGCGCGCCCGCCGGAACCGATCGCGCGCCCTTCCGCCGCGGGGTCACGTGACGTCCCGTCGGTCCCGCAAGATGGCGGCGCCCATGTTGGTGCCCGAGCCCCCCCTGGGGAAGCCGAGGTGAGGCCGCGGCCGGGCCGGGGCCGGGGCCCCCCGGGACAAGGGGAAGGGCCCGGGGGTCCCTGCGGAGAGTCGCGGCCCCGTCCTGGCCGGGACCGCCCGGGCGCACGACGGCCGCGGCTGAGGCCGCCCCGTGGCCGGGCCCGGCAGTGGCGCAGCTCCGCGCGGACGGGGGCATTGGGCTCGGCGGTTCTCGGGACGGGAGCGCGGCCGCGCTGGGGGCGCCGAGCGGGCCCGGAGGCGGCGGAGCCGCGGGCGGGGGGCGCTGCCGGTGCCGTTCCGTGCCGGACCCGGGGCAGCGGGGCCGCCGTGCCGGCCCGCCCTTGCTGCGGCGGGCGGGACAGCATTCCGCGCCCGGAAAGCGGCGGCCCGGACTGATGTGAGGAGCAGGGCAGGAGCGGCATGTGCGTGCCTGGCCTGAGCCCCGTCCAGCCCCGCCGCGGAGGCTGCGGGCCAGGGCGGCCGCGCTCACAGCGGGATTCCCCGGTCGGGCTCTCCGGGTGTTTGCCAAGGCCTTGCTCCGGTGTCGTGCCGCTGGACGCAGAGACGGACCCAGCCCTGGGGCAGCTTGGGCGCCGCTGCTCCTTGTGCGCCAGCTGTGTGCCCACCCCCTCCTGCGCTGGCCGGGGAGTAAGGGGAGTTCCTCCCTCCCTTCCTTCCTTGGGTTTCAAGAACAAGAAGTTCCCAGGAACTGGGAAAGAGCTTCTCGCTTGTCAGCCCCAGGCACCTGCTGAGGGCTGCGATCCATTTCGGGCAGGTCCCGAGGTGAGGAGCGGCCAGGCTGGCCGGGCCGGAGGCAGAGGTCTGTGCGGGTGGGCGCCGCTGGCAGGACAAGCACTGTGGTGTCACCTTGGCACGCACAGGTGTGCACGCGGTGAGGATGTGAGCAATCCTGAACAGGACTGGAGATGTGGGTGACGTTCTGGCTGGCTGAGTTGCACTTGTGGAATCTTTTAAAATTACACACTCCAAAAGGGGGAGGTTTCAATCTCCCATCAGCATTTGGTGTGGCACAGTGACAAGAGCTGAAGATCATCCCTCCTTCCCAATTCTCCATTATGACCTGGTTAAGAAGAGAAAAGATAGAATGAAACTTGACAGAAAAGAGCTTAATGGGAAAAGGCTTTTAGACATTAGAGGCATTTTAGCCATAGTGAAAACATGGTGGTGCCTGTAGGCAGCTGTTCAAAGCTATTAGACAAGCAAGGAAGAGTCTGGTCAAGCTTCTGTAGCAGAAGAGCAGTGCTGAGCATTGTCTTTGGGGGCTGTGGAGTGTGTTTTGTTAGCTGTGCATTGAGACTGCTGCCTGTGGAGAATATCAAAGAAGAAAAGAAAGGACTTGAACTTTCATGTTCTGTAAAGGAAAGACTAGAATGTGCTGAGAGTTGCACAAAAATTGTAGGGTAGGAGATCCCTAAGTTTTACTCCCTTATCTTGTCTAGTGACTGAGTTTCAGGAGCTGAAGGAGATTTCATGGAGTTGGTGATGATGTTGAGTACTGCCGAGCTCATAAAGGTGACACCACATGTATGGTGTCTTCTTGCTGCTGTCCATGTGCAAGTCTGAGCTGCGCAGCCACAGATTTACAGATTTCATTGTCACATCAGATGCTGCTGTGGAGTTACTGTTTCGTATAAATGCCTAGTAATTTTGCAGTTTGTGGGATTTTGTATTGCTTAAGGAAATTAAGTGAATGTATGACAGTAAAATTTGTTTGGCTGTCTTAACATAAGTAATGTTCTCTCATCCTCAGCCATCAAAAGTACAGAGCTATTCTGAAGAAGGAGAAGAGGAAAAAAAAGCGGCAGGCACTTGCCAAACTAAGAGACTCAGGTAACTGAAGTATTTGGTACTGTCAGTGGAACTAGAAGTGACTGGGTTGTTTTTGGGTTTTTCTTTTTAAATATGTCAGTTTGTGTATCTGTGTTGGCTGTAACATGCAGTTATGTAGATATATTGAATTGTGCTTTTTTTTCAGAAGCTGCAGAAAAAGATGAATCTGTGTCTGAGGAAGAAGAGGAGGAAATGGAAGAAGAGGAGGAAGAAGAAGAAGAAAAAAAACTTGAGGCAGAAAGGTGAGAAATATAGAAAATGTCATATGGGCAATAAACATTTTTGTAATCAAATCCATTTTAGTACTTTGAAAAGTTTGAATATATTCTGTGCAACACAATCTTTATTGATTATGTCAAGCTACACAGTCCTTTCTTCTAAAGCCTGAGTGATTCCTATGGAAATTTGTATTTTCAGTAAGATTAAATAAGCTGTAGCTATTACTGTAGTAATAAATACAATATTGAATTGTATTTATGAGAGTTGCATCAGTCATGGGTAGTCCTTAAGTTGATGGTTTCAGTGGTTTCTGGTTTCTTTGTTAGACAAAAACTACATGAGCAGTGGTTGCTGAGAGAAGAAAAGGCCCAAGAAGAGTTCAAGCTAAAGAAAGAAAAAGAAGAGGCTGCAAGAAAGCGTCAAGAGGAAGAAGAGGTATAAAGATATAAAACCTTACAGTAGTGCTAGACAACAAGATAGACTTAGTGTAATAACTGTGATGGACCCTTTTTCTTGATGCTGGTGTGTTTGAAAGCATAGACTCTCCACTCTTTGTATAGAAAAGCACAATTGAAAAGAGAAGAAAACAACAGCTCTTAAAATGGTATTTGTCAGATTTAGTTGCTTCTGACTGGATGAAAACTTAATGGTCGAGCAGTTGTAGTGAAACATGGTAATTTTGATTGATTGTAAAGTGTTGTTCTTTATTTTTTTTAATTATAAAGAGGAAGATCAAAGAAGAATGGGAAGAGCAACAAAGAAAAGAGAGAGAAGTGGCACAGCAGAAGCAACAGGAGAAGAGAGAGAGAGAGGTGATTTGTGGTGGTGGGAGGATATACATGTTATATGTCCTGTGACATGATCAATGCAACAGTTATGCATGCTGAAAAGCGATTTTGTTGTAATTAGCAAATGCATTAGTTAGCCCATTCTGTCTAAGTTCCTAAACCATTATTCAGTGTTAAAGAGCATTCAGGGGGTCCATGTACTGAAGTATAACTCTTGTTAACCCATCTGGTTCTTCACAGTATGTAATTGTTTATGTCAGGTGAATACAAAGGTACTGTGCCAATGCAGGTTGTGGTAAGTGCACTTTATGCATCATGTGTTAAAGATAATCCTTCCTTAATGTCCTAGTTGAACACAGTCAGTGCTGAAGAAAATGCCCAAAGAGGATTTGGAATATGGAAGTACATTGCTGCTGTTCCTTAACGCAGTTCTTAATCAAAAGATGTGTTGCAGCTCTTCTTTACCTGACTCATCCAACAGGACGTATCTTTTTTCAGAGCTCCTTGGGTGGAATAAAAAATTATATTGAAGATACAAGTCATTGATAATATTTGTGTTAATGAAACATTCATCTTAAATTTTGCAAGTTCAGTGACCTGGATGTAAGATGTCCTATACAGTAGTCCAGTGTGAGGACTGGCCTCTTATTGCCACTGAAGAGTGACTGCAGCTTTCTAGAATCTGGTCATTTTAGATTCTCCACAGTCACGAAGTTTCCAGTCATTTCACTGGGAGGTGTCTTGTGGCTGTGTCTGATAGCCACAGCAGGAGAAGAGCCATGAGCAGACAGCTGTGGCTGTCTACAGTTAATAGTTGGTTGTGCCACTGATTATGTAACTTGAATGAGGGATGCAAAGAACAGCAGTTATTGTATTTCTTGTCTTGCTCACTCTGGTGTTCAGGTGTCCATTTCTCTCTTTGCAGAGTAAGGAGAGAAGATTATTCTCGTGTCCTTTATTTAGGGTTGAGATACAGTTTGGAGAGAGTTTAACCATGGTAACAGCAGGATTTTATTCCTCCCCTCTGTCCTTGTGTCTGGGTGTCCCCAAGCCCTCAGCAGGATAACTGGCGTCCCTGAACTAGATAGAAGCAGCTTTCTCTTTTCTTTGGTTGTTGGATTCTTTGCTTTGTTGTTTTCTGGGTTATTGTTTATGGGAATAGTGAGTTAAATTGGCTCATAGAGGGCAATGGCAGGCACCCAGAGGGAAACTGATTGCCCAGCTGAGAGCAGAGCCACCCATTTTAGCAGCAGAAAGTTGTTTAATTGGTGTGGCCTGTGTCTTGAAACAGCAGTTTATTCAAATTCTAACAGTGATAAAAGAAAAAAACTAATTTCCCTCCCTAAAATGAATAAATAGATTTTCTGTTTTGATGAGTGGTGGTGGTTTGAGATGTTTTTAGAGAGGGTGAAGGATTTGTTTTGGCTTTGGTATTTTTTGTTTATGTGGTTCAGGGAGTTTTGTTTGTTTTGTCTGTTTAGCTTTTCTTTATTAGGGTGGGTACTGTCTGACATCCTTGGTGATCAATACCAGATGCTGTCTGGATCCTCATCTTTAATTGCATTTTTAAATTTTTATTTGCTCTTTTTAAATTTAATTAATTCTCTTCTGAATTAAACCAGTCCTAGCATATTTTCTTGTACTGATTATGTTAAAATATCTTTTTCCTAGGAACGTCATAGAGCAATTTATTAGAAGTAGTGTCCAGCCAGTTTTGGAGAGTGGTATTGTTATGCTCAGCCTACTTGGAAAAATTAAGGGAAAGAATATCCTCATTGCTTTCCTGTATTTGGAAGGCTAGATATGGTTAACTTATGATGTTTAAGTTTCCTACCAGTTGCATCTCTTGCTTTAACAGAGGCTCACTAAGCATTGCGATTTTCTGTGTGTTCCACAAAATGTATAAGTTAAAACATTTTGTGCAGCTAAACAATTACGGGCTTACCTGTAACCAGGCTGTGTACTAGAGCAGGAGATAGATTTAAGCATCAATAGTTTAATGATCATTTCAAAAATGAAAATTAAACTTTTATGTTGTCTATCATTTAGTTCAGAAGATCATGTATGTGAGGGTCTTGTCTGATGTATCCTTTAACAGCTTTGTAGTACATGAATTGCTACAGAGCCAAAGTAAATCTGTTTTTAAAGGAAACTCCATTACACTTCCATGATGCATAATCACTGAGCATTGTAAATTAGGTTCTTAACTAAAGAAACCAGATGTTTTGCGTATCCTCAGGGTTTTCACTAGTCCTGTGTTTGCACCATTTATAGGCAGCTGTGCAGAGGATGCTGGATCAAGCTGAAAGCCAGGTATGCTCAGAGACTTTCTGAAAAAAGAACTGAAAAGTAATTTAATTTTCATCCAGTGTTTGCCTTCTAGCATGCTGTCCATCTGCTCTCAAGAACCTAATGGCCTGAATAAATTTAATATATAGTGTCTTGCATGAGCTGTACACAATTATTTACTGGGTGGAACATAATTAAGCATATTTCTGTCTGGTTGGTGGCAGTGCAGTTGTGCATGCTGATGACTGTTCAGGAGATCTGAGTCAAAATGAAGGTAGAAATATTGCTGTGTGCTGTTAAAAAACACTCTGCATGATGGGTCTACTTGTGAATTGTAATTCTAAATAAATCTATCAGTCCTGGGTAGCAAGATAAACTTGTCTTTTTAAGCAGATGTCGGGCTCTAAATAAGAGGATTCAGTGTTAGAGGAGGGCACAGATTCTTAAGGAAAAGAAAAAAAGGTGGGGGAGGGAGAAGCTTGATTGCTTGGATGTTGGAAGAGCATGGATTTCAAGCTGGCAGTGTGTAGAAAAGAAAACTGCAGTTTTCATTTGGCTCTTAAAGATTACCTTAAAGAATAATTTGGCTTTTTATCCCTGTCACATGGTTAAACTTGTGAAGATTCTTGTTCTGTTTAAAGGCATTCACTGCATGAATCTGAAAAAAAAAGTCTTAACCTAGTTATCCATTTTTTATTGACTGCCATAGCTACCCTGGAGTTAGATTTGTTTCCAAATCATGTTTAAACTGTTCTTTAGATAGGGAATCTCTTTTATAAGATGGGTAGGAAACTGCTCTGAACTGCTGCCTGCCCATAGCTCATGATGCATTAGCAGTCATGTCTGCAAAGGAATAGTCAGAAATGTGGTATGTTAGAGAGCATTAGAGTACCAGTTCAGGGTTCATTTACTGCTGACATAACAGGGCTGTTCTGGTGATAGAAAATTATGGCTGCAAGTCATGAACAGAATTGGTAGCTGGGTCAAATGCTGCCTGTGAATAAAAAGAATTTTCAGCTGATTTAAAATGAGAACTTAGGCTAGTCTAGCTTTAAAGATTGTTTGGTTAGAATGAAAATTCCTTTTTAATATGTGTCTTGATTGTAGTCATTCAATGTTTGCAAGTTGGTGAGGCCATTTTGAATTACAGAAATCTTAATTGCCCAAGATGATCAGTACAGACACTTTTACTTCCAGTGCTAACTGTGAATTTAATTTTTTTAAATTCTGGCCTTTGGAGGTTACTTTTATTTTAGCTTTTTGTAGATGCACATAAAAGTGATAATGATGAGCTTGCTGAGCTTTGGGCTGTTGCAGAGAAAAATAAGTAAATACTCCTAGCTTTCTCTCTGGGGTTGTGGTGGTTTTGGCTGGTGTAGAGTTAATTTTTTTCATGGTGGCTAATATGGGGCTTTGTTTTGAATTTACACTTAAAATAGGGTTGAAAGTGTGGAGATGTTTTTGTTATTGCTGGGGGCTGAGCAGGGCCCACACAGACCCAAGGCCTTTTGTGCCAAGGCCTTCTCTGCTTCACTGCCACACTGGCGAAGAGGCAGAGGGTGCATGGTTGGTTGGGAGGAGACAGCCCGAACAGGTGACCCCAGCTGACCCAAGGAATATTCCAGACCATCTGACATCATGCTCAGTATATAAAGTGGGGAGAAGAAGGAGGAAAGGGGGGACATTTGGAGTGATGGTGTTTGTCTTCCCATATCACTGTTACATGTGGTAGGGCCTTGCTTTCCTCAAGACGGCTGAACGTCTGCCTGACCATGGGAAGCAGCAAATTAATTCCTGGGATTGCTTTGCTTTTTTGCCTGGCTTTTGCTTTCCCTCTTAAATGATCTTTATTTCAATGCATGAATTTTGTGTCTTTTACCCTTCCACTCTCTCCCTGATCCTGCATGGGGCTTTGTGGGGCTTGGCTGCTGGCTGGGGTTAAACCACAACACAGATGTATAAAGTGAGACCCAAGGCACAGGGCAGCTTTGCAAAACAATGCTTTAAATAGGTTCAGCTTGCCTTGTAGAAACATAGTGCTCATAACTGCATGTGAATTCAGTTGTTAAGTTTTATTTTTGACACTCCTTTTCTTTACAGTTTTCTAATTTTTGTCTATTTTAATGTTTCTTCCACAGCTGGAGAATGGTGTGAGTTGGCATAACCCAGAGCCCCCAGAGAATCTGGGAACAGAGAAGGACAGAGCAAACTGCCCATTTTATATTAAAACAGGCTCCTGCCGATTTGGAGACAGGTAATCCATTGAATATTTACCAGGACAGAAGTGTGTTGGGGAGATAAAATAGAGGCAACTTAATTCAGTCATAAGCAAACTGAGGAAAAATTGCTGCATAAAATACTTTTGTGTATTTGGATATGGATAGAGAGCAGAGCATTGCCTGGTTGGAATTGAGCTGTTTATTGCTATGGCATATTACTGATGGTGCTTTCTGGTTACATTGGTCAGACAAGTTTTCCTTAGCTTAGACTCATGCAGAGATATATTCTGATAGAATGTGTATGGTTTGTTATTAGTACAAGTCTGATATGTCAGATGCTAATTTTTTATATTTTCTAATTTGCCTATGTTCAAATCCCAAATGGATCAAAAAAAGTAAGCTAAGGCAAATCTGCACACTTGGGAAAGTTGTTAGGTAGCTTCCAGAGTTCTCACTATTTAGATGTGTGATGCATTGAGTTGTGATTCTGGTACACTGACAGGGTGTCCCTATTTCAGGAGGGAAGTGTAGTAAAAGGGAAGAGCAGAGAAACTCATCAGGATGATGAGAGATGAGCAACACCTCTGTAGAAGTGACTGACAAGTCCAGACTGTTTTCAAAGAGGGCGATGAAGAGGACTGTGGTAGATAACAGCAAACTCAGGAGTAGGGTGGGAGTGATTATTTGCAATTTAGTCAGGTGTCTTAGAATGTTCACTAGCTTTTACAAAGGAAGGACTTTCTCATGTGAAACAAATGGCAAACTTGTTCTCAGAGGATGTAGAGGAAACCAGAAGTATAAATGAGTTTATGGAATACATGTGCATTGGCGACCAGGAACAATGATGACCCAAATGACCAGCTTTTGGTTTGAAAATCCCTGGTATTTTTTGTGCTAAGGAGAAACAACAGCTTAGCAGGGAAGGATTCTGATATTTATTACATGAATCTTCAGCAAAAACTTAAGAGGTTATTTTACTGACTTGTATCACTGAAACATGTGTGGTCTAGCTATTGTCATGTTCTTTATCCTGGGAGTAATTTGTCCCAGTGTGATATTTATTGTGGATAATTAGAAGATAATTTAACTATATGGAAGCTTGAAGTTCACATCATTTTTTTCTATTTTGAAGTATGTGTTGAATTCCATAATTAAAATTTCACCAGCTATGTCACTGCAGACAGCATTTTTTTTTTTTTTTTTCAAATGTCTGGATCTTGTAATCTTTGCAGTATTTCTGTTTTGGTGGTCTTTGATGGAGATAACTTCCATGGATTATGTATGGATTGCATAAAACTCGGTTTTGCTTTGAACTTTGCATTTGAACTATGAATAAACCTTGGAAAATAAATACTGAGAAGCATCATATTCTGCCCTTCCTCCTTCACCCCTGTTAATCTCAGCTACCTCCCTTTCATCTTCCTTCTTTTCTTTCACCTGCTTCCCTCATAATCTGGTCATTTTAATGTCTGGTGCTGTCTCCAAGTTGAAGGACTGGTACAGCTAGGGTAGGGCTGGAAGGATGGGTTGAAAGGAGTTATGAAAAACTAAGAGCCAGCATTATGAATAAATAACTGTTGAATCTTGTCAAAGCTCACTATGTCCTGAAGAAGCTGAAACTGGCTGTGTTTGCTACTACCAATTTCCCCAGTAATTCAAACCCTAACATTTTGCAGTAATACTGGATTCTTGGGTCATTCATTTTCCTTGGGTTCCTTTTCTTCTGTCATGTGAATATATCATTTTGTGTACAAACAATATGTGATGGGTTTAATATTTTCTGTTCTATTACTGAAATTGAGCAGCAAAAGGAGGCAGCTTTTAAAATGTAATGGTTTAGTTTGGGATTTGGAGATTGGATTTTTTTGTTGTTGTTGTTTGCTTTTTGAAGTCTAAGGGGTCAACCAGAAGTTGAGAGTCCTGACCTCCCTGCAGTTCTTCTGTGCTGTCCAGTGACAAAGAGACTAGACTAGTCTGGATGTTTTTCTGGTCATGTCATGAAAAGGAGAAAAGTGTTGGAGAGTGCATGACCCAGTTGCTTGGTGACATATTGAATGGGAATCACAATGCACAGTGAAATAAACATGGAGAACATCTGTGTTATTAAGGAATCTAAAGGTGTCTAGAGGAGAACTGTATTTCAGCATGTTAGCAAGGTAGCCTGAATATGATGGATGGTGAGGGAGTTCTAATACTTTATGTCTGCCAAGAAGCTGCAGATTAAGATATGAGTAACTTAGAATAATTTTTTTGTTTAGTTTTTGGTTTTTGTAGGTTTTTTAGTTTGTGGGTTTGGGTTTCTTTTGGTTTTTTTTGTTGTTATTCTTTCCTTTCTTTTGGTTTGGGTTGTTTTGTTAGAAGTGGAAAAGTACCAGTCTTATACTTATCCAGGTGTAGGTCTAAATGTGCTGTTCTTCCCACATTGACACTTTCTACCTCCATATGATGAGAACAACTTCAGTAAAAGTTGTTCAGTTTGCAAAAAGAAGAGCAGGGACTTGCTTTAAAATATCTTTATAGAAAGACTCCTGACAAGCTTTTAAGCCCTTCAGAAAATGGGAACACATTAACCCTAGTAGCCGAAAAGAAATTACTTCAGGCCTCATTGTGACACTGGTATCTATATCTTTTGTAGTTCTGCTTTCTTAAGCAAGAATGTGTTTGTTAATGGCATTAAGGAAGCCTTAAGGTTATGTACAAACTCACTCCAAAACATTTGGTTTAGTAATTGAAATATCTTGATCTTCCACTAATAGATTTTCTTTCATAGTAACTGTAACTGAAAATGACAAATGTTTGAAGCTTTAACAAGTGTATTTTCCTCTGAAAGTGCCAATTTTTCCACTTTTCTTTCTTCACTACACCTGTCCAGGTGTTCTCGCAAGCATAACTACCCCACATCGAGCAAGACGCTGCTCGTGCGAGGCATGTTCATCACTTTTGGCATGGAGCAGTGCCGGAGAGACGACTACGACACAGATGCCAGTCTGGAATACAGTGATGAGGAGACCTACCAGCAGTTCCTGGAGTTCTACGAGGATGTGCTCCCCGAATTTCAGAATGTGGGGAAGGTGGTTCAGTTCAAGGTACGCAACCAAGTGTGGTTTACGAGCCTTATGAGGAATTCTGTTCAGCATGCCCCAGCTAAATCCTGTGGGCAAGAGGGCACTATGCTGTGTCCTTACAGCAAACTTTGCATCTCTCATGTCACCTGTAAACTTGTCACTGCTCTTACAGAGCACCATCCTGCTCTGGGTGAATCTTCTCTCCCATTCCTCTGAAGTGTTACAAAAGCTTGTGTTTCTATATTGCAAGTTATTCACACTACTCAACAGTCCACTTATCTCATATTCCTTCCTTTTCTTATCCTGTGATAAGCCCCAGAGGGTCCATTAAGACTGTTAGATAATATAAATACATCTGAGCTAGTGTATTTGGGCTTAAGGAATGAAATAGTGGGGATATGAAATGCATTTGGAGTGTACACCCAACCAATGTCATTTTAGGACTGGCTGAATAAAATAAAATCAGATTACAATGAACTGAAAAGATAGCAGATATTTCAGTAGGAAGAATTATAGAAAGGTAAGTTACATAAATGACCTTGATATTTGTCATCCATCCTTAGTTTGTGCATTTGGTTTGCTCAGTGTTTTGTACTGATTTTTTTCCATTTATATTGTTATTTCTTATGGGGATTAAGAGGGATCTGTAAATGGAGACCTCAGAGATGAATGATGTGTGTTAACAGTCCTATGTTGCTCCAAAATACACAGCTTGGGTGGTGGAGTCTCCTTGTATCAGAATCTATTGCAGCATCCCTTTCTGCTTGCCATTCCTGAGTGTTTTCCTGCAGTCACCAGGAGGCATATAGTTTCTTTTCTTCTTTTGTGTTCATCTACTGACAGCTGCCTCAGGACTGAGATGGCATTAGCATTTCAAGCAAGAGGAAAGTAGAAAGAGTGAGTTTTCAGTAGTTGTATAATGAGCTTTATAGGTAAGAAATGTTCACTTGTTTGGAGGAGTGGAGCATCCCCTCCATATTTTGACTCATGTAGTAATAACCAGTTGTCCTCTACTAGAAGACAGAATAGAGATTCCCTATGCAGCATGGCTTGAAAAGCCTTATCAGCAAAGTCAGGTCCTTGGCTTTGTACCGTGTTTCTGTGCAGGTGTGTTAAGCTGCACCTGCTTGGGTTGCTGTGACTATTAGTGTGGCATTCCTTGGCTTCTGAAGCAATTGTGTAACAGCAAGATGATTCTCATGCACATTTTCACTACATTCGAGATGCTTCAGAAAAACATGTTGGCTGCAGGGATCTTAACTGTGAGTGAGCTGAGACTCTGTGACCATTTAGAATCCGATTATACACGCCCCTCTGTCAGCTGACTTCCTTTTCCAATGTAGCCTAAGGTTTTCTTCTGTTTTTTCTGGGAAGCTGCTCCAGAATCTGGAAGATCCTGATAAAACACTGCCTTAGAACACTAGGGCTCTTTTCCCACCCAAAAATGCCTACAGCAAAATCATTCTCATTTGCTCTTGCATTGACACTGTTTATCTCAAATAGTTTAACTCCTTATCTTGTAATACTTAATTATACAGATCCTTGTTATTGTGGCTGAAGCCCTTTGCTGATCCAGCATACAAAGAGGCATTCCCTGAGGCTCAGTCAGGGTTCAGGGATGAAAGGAGCCACTAACCTTGTTTGCTGCGGATATTGCAAGAGGCCTGCGGGCAACAGAGGCTGGAATCACAGTTTGTCCTGGAGAACTGGATTCCACCTGCTTGGACCTGCCTCTTAGAATCTTTTGTAATCAACAGCAAGCTTTTTAAAAGTTTATTTTGTATTTTTGAGACCTACTACTACTACTACTGTGAATACTAAATTATTACAAGAAAGGTTTTCAGAACTGTACAGTGACAGATGGTGTCTTCAGCTTTTTGAACCCATTTTACAGGGATGCTGTGAAGATACATTGCTCTAGAGTCTCTTACTGTAATGAATCCCTCATTTCCACTGTGGATATTAATAATTATTGTCAGAACAGGATTTGGCTGTTGCACAGTAGGGTTGGCCCAGACAAGTGCAAGACAATGGAGTACAAACTTTCTTATGGACTAACTGAAGCCAAGGTCCCAGAGTTAATCAAAGCATAATGCTGGAAACAGTTAAACATAAGCCAGAAAGGATTTCTTTTTTTTTTTTTTTTTTTTTGGGTTGGGGTTTTTTTTTTTTTTTTTTTTTTGGTTGGTTGGTTGGTTTGTTTTTTTTGTTAACAGTAAGTGTTCAGAAAAACATCATCTGTAAGTTGATATGGATGAAGTGTCATAAATGAGAATTGCCTATCTCAGAATGTGTGAGCTGCTGTACAACATAAACCTTCCACTGCTCTAACTTCACGTTTCCGTCCCCTCAGGTCAGTTGCAACTATGAGCCTCACCTGCGAGGAAATGTGTACGTCCAGTACCAGTCGTAAGTACTCAGTCTTACCAATTGTTAGAGCTAAACTCCAGAGTTGAGTTATATCATCCATGCAGTTCATTCTCATACTGTAGTGGGAGCCCAAAATTGGTAAGGGTGTCTGAAATAATTGTGTGATGGTAATGCCATCTTGTTATTTTCACTTTTTAAAGGGAGAAGGACTGTCAGGCAGCTCTGGCTCTGTTCAGTGGACGATGGTATGCAGGCAGACAGCTTCATTGTGAATTCTGTCCTGTGACAAGGTGGAAAACTGCCATATGTGGTGAGTCTTGGAAAAGACACTGAAAGAGTATTCATTCATGGAAGTCAAAAAGAGGGATTATGCTGTAGCTTTCAGATCTGCCTAATGTTGTATTCATTTCTGTTTGGAAGACAAATGTGCTAGCTTGCTTGTGTAGATCAAGGAAAGAAAGGGAGTATTTACACCATGTCACATGTCTGATGTTCTAGGGGATTTACCATGGTCTAGGAAAAAAGGTCTGGATTCTAGCTTTGGAAATAATAATCTTAAGGTGAAACTCCAGGAAATACTAATTTATCTCTTGAGAAGCGACAGCAGTTTCTGGACTATCAACAGTTCTGAGCAGTAAATATAACATGTTATTTATCTAGATTTACCTTCTTACATTAAGGTAAATAAAATTTAATGAAATTAAAAGTTAAATTTGTTCTAAGCTAAAACCTAATCTTCATAGCTGTTAAAAAGCTAATTCCCAGAAAAGTACACAGTGAAAATTAATCTTGTGTGAATTAAATTGATAGGTGGTCAGATGCACGTTCTTCTGTTTGGAGAAGTAAAATCCAGTTTATTACATTTCTTCCAGTTGGTACATAATGAAGAAAGAGATTTAACAGGTCTGGTTCATAAAAACGCAAACCCTAATCTGTTGCAGGCTTATTTGAAAGGCAGAAGTGTCCAAGAGGGAAACACTGCAACTTTCTTCACGTATTCAAAAATCCAAACAACGAGTTTTGGGAGGCCAACAGAGACATACGTCTTTCTCCTGAACGGACTCATCAGTTGTCTAAAAACTCTGAGAGGAGAAACAGATCGAGCCATCGTGACGACTACTACAGCCGGTCCAGGAGAAGGGGCAGCCCGAGCCCAGACCATTCCTACCGCAGAAATGGAGAATCAGAGAGGAAAAAGAGTCGCCGCAAAAACAAGAAGCGGCGCCGCTCGGGGAGGTCGAGGAGTCGAGAGAGGAGAAGGTCTCACAGCAGGGGCAGGAAGAGGAGAGGCCGCAGTCGCAGCAGGAGCCACAGTCGGACACGCAGCAGGAGCAGAAGCAGGAGTTCCTCTCGATCCAGGAGCAGGGGTAAAAAGAGATCAAGCAGCAGAGGAAAAAATAGTGAAACTCCCAAAACAAAGTGAGAATTACTTTCAGAAATTGCTAATTGATAAAAATAGAGCTGACAAAGAAATCTTCCCAATAGGGCACCAGATATATTTGAATTTCAAATAAAGTGTTCTTGCACATTAAAATGTTTCTTCCTATTAAAGGAATGTAGTTTACTGTGTGCGAAGCTTGAGAAAATTAGAAGTCCTATAGAAGGTGTGAATGTCAAGTACTTTAGCTACTCTGTCCCTCTGAACTGCTGCAACATCTGGATGCACACTGAGTACAAGTAGAGAAGTGAAGCCTCTTTGGTATATGCTTATTTCTGTTACGTGTATGTTAAGTGTTTACTGTTCCTGTAAGGAGTTAGTACCGAACAGCCAGTGTGCAGTAAATTGGCACCCCAGCACACTGCAGATCCAGGTCTGTGTAGATGGCTGCCATTTGTATTTTTCATCTGTTTATCGGAAATTGTTTTTTAGACAAAGAAAATGTAATTGTTTTATGAGTCGGAGAAAAGGGATTTCAAAGACATCACTATTTGATTGTACAGTACTTGCCCAGTAGGAGCTTTTTGGTCACGAGTGTTGGATTTTTCTTGACCCTGACTGAGTTGCTGAGCTGATCGCTTGTAGGGATTGCAGTAGACTAAAACCAAGTAGAAGTACACAGAGAAACAATCACTTTATTCAGTACCTTAATCCCCAAGTAAGACAAGAGACCATGCAACTGTAATCCTTGAGTGAGGTTAGAAATACTCTGCATACCTCTTGGTTGCACACCATTTGTACATGAAAATTACCTGCCCACCTTGTGCTGGAGGGGTGAAAAGTGTCCCATCTGGGAACCAAAGATGTGATTGTGAAGGCTCAGTCAAGATGGCCGCAGAGTGGCTGGAGAAACTGAAGAGTTCATACATGAAAGAACACTTCATGGTTTTGGGAGAGGAGGACTTAAGAGCCTTTTTAGGTTTATTTTACAAATAGTTTAAGGCACCCTACTGCCTTGTTTTCCTAAGGCCAAGGTGAAGAGCAGGGTACATAAAAACAAAATTATTGGGACAATACCTTCTTGAAATGACAGCTACAATAGCGAATAGAAATCCTTACCAATATTTTTTCACTTTTAAATAAAAAAGATTTGTGCTGTTAGATGTACTGTATTTCACATGGCTTATCTTCAAGTTTTAACGTGGGCACCTTTGTCCTCAGACACTCGCAGAGAGGTTGTGGCACAAAGGTGCAGGTGCCCTGACGGTCTGTAGAGACACCTCCCTGTCCTTAGCCTCTCCAAAGAACTCAGCTCCTGCCTTCAGAGAACCAATCAGACCCCAGGAGTTAGAAGCCTAAAGCAGGCATGAAGTGCTCCCAGATAGGAATTCCTTACAATTCCTGGCAATGTAACATAAACTCCCTTAGAAAATACAGCTATCTGAACTTTACCAATTTACCAATTACAGATATCTGAACTTTACTAATTTATTATTCTTCACAGCAACAATGTTTTTCCCCAGGATAGGTAAGATCAAGTGAACATTGCTTCTGGATATGATATATATATTTGCTTTTCTAAATGCATAGTGCACCTAGCATGCTGATTATACATTTTTCTTTCTTTCTTCATGTGTAACTTGTCCAATATGGAGTAATGCTACAAAAGCAATGTTCAGTTCAAACCAAATTTCCACAATATATTGTCATAACTGTAGGCAGAGCTTAGTTAATTTGATTAAATGTTTTAGTTATTAACAGATGTAGGAATTGTAATTATCATAACTTTTGAAATAATAACTTTTTTAAAAGGCATATTTTGAAGGACAGACAGCACAAAGTTTTTAATTCCATTTGAGAAATTTGTTACTGCCAGTTTCTTATAATGTACATTTTTTTCACCACACCTTAGAGACAAATTTTCCCTGAGGTTTCTGGTTTTTTTAGAGATGCTCAGTTGCCTCACTGGGTCACTTGCAACACATGTGGCAAACTCTCGTTCAGTTGGCCAGCAGCAGGCCGGTTTCATCCTCCATTCCCTGGGCTGCCCTGCTTCCCACAGCTCTCTGGTGGGAGAGCTGGCTTGTGCCCATGCAGATGCTGCAGACAGACTGTCACAGAGCATCATCCCAGCAAAATCAGCTGTCCAACTCAAGGAAAAGGGATGGAGTTGGTGGTGGGAACCTGTGACCAGTCAGCTGAAATAAGCAAACCAGGTTTCATGGGATTAGAAACTAAGTGCCCACTAACAACCACGTGAGAATTCCATGGGTGATTAGGCTTCTTGTCTCCACAGTTTTGCAAAAGGATTTGGGAAGCTGAGTGGCTGTATTAAAAAAAACAAACAAACAAACAAAAAACAACTTGCTCAGAAATGCATGTATAAATTTAAATATACTTTATTTCTGCTACTACAATGGCTGCGGCTTCAGCTTGTTTCTCTTGAGGTCTGGACCTAAACGTGCTGGCTGTACCTGTACAGTGTAGGACTGGTAGCTGTGATTATCCTGCACTTTCACACACTGTTTATTACACAGAACTTGAGTGCTGTAGGTCTGACATTTAGCTTGCACTTGTTAGCATGAAACCTGGGATTCCACCAGTTTTCTGACTTTGGAGTTTGTATTTTTCAGTACTCTTTCTCTGCTTCATAATCTTAAGTAGTGTTATATGCATGGTTTTGTGTTTCCTTATTATTATGTGTGAGTTATTTTATTCTGGAGAGACAGACTAGAAGTTTTTTAATGTTAAGCCTAATTATTTTCTTTCCCAAAGGGAAAAAGCCCCAGAACACGAAAGGATTTAAATTTGTAAGGAACAGCCTATTTGCATTGCGTGTTATTCCGCATATTCCACAGAAAAGGACCTTATAAAGTGAATTAATGTGGGCCAAGTTTTGTTTTGTCTTCAAAGACTACTTAAAAGCAGCAGCTTTCAAAATACTTTTTTTCAGTTGTGGATTCTGCAGGGATCACAGAGGTGTTTGGAGTAATTCTGGCATTTACACACAGGTTCAGGGTGCCTGTGCCAGATGCCCTACTTCAGTCAGGATGGTGCTGCCCTGCCCTTCAGTGGAGCAGGAGCAGCTCAGCCAGGCAGCAGCGCTGCCTTGTTCAGCAGCACAAGGGGAACTCCTGTAGGCAAGGGCACTGTCGCTGCCCAGCAGAATTAAGGCATCAGGGGACTGGGCTTGCCCCTCACAGCAGAGTGCCTTCCCATTCAACTGTAGCTGGTGGCCACTTCTGTGGGATTTCATTCTGTCTGTCTGTGAGGAAGGGTGGCACGTGGCTGTGTGTTGAATACAAGGCATTTCTTGTGGACACCCAGCAAGGTATCCTCTCTGGCCCCAGCCCTTGTGTATAGGGCACATTGTCCAAAATGCATCCCAAGTGACTCCTCTGCCACTTTTATGCCCTGTGATGGCAGCATGGCTGTTTTGCATTGGCACGTTCAGTGTATTGGAAACTGCCCTTCGGTTTATCAGTGACATTCCTGTGTGCTAAATAACTTGTTTTTTTTCTAAAGACATGCAAGAGCCTGCTAAAAGCTCCTATTGCTTCCTGTCCTGGATCAGCACTTCTTACAAAACATGAAAGATGGAAGTTTATGCTAGTTAATAACCTAAAAGCTTAATTTACTTTCTTATATAATCCAAAGGGTGCAGCTCATTTTGCTTTCAGTGTAAGCTTGTAATTAAAATGAACCCCAATTCCACATATGCTCCTGCTCAGCACTGATGTATCAGGTGAACTGAGTATCTATGGCTGAAAACCAAAACTGATGTGATATGGACAGGTAACACTGTCGAGCCGTGAGACAGACTGCAAAGCAAACTGGACAACGTAACCCATGGTACGTGGGAGCTTGACAGAGGCAGCCACAGGGTGACCATCACTGTGGCCTTACCCCAGAAGAACAGCAGATGTTTAGGAAAGCCTCTTTGAGTTAAATTTAGACTTAAGTAAGTGAAGACACTCAAGACAACAATCAACTTGCCTGAACAATCCAGAAATTCCTACTTATTCTTTAGCTCTCCCCAACCCTTCCACACAAGACAGGAAATTCAAAGACCAGAATTTAATTTTAAATTAATTTTAGAAATGCCTGAAGATGTTAATTTTTCCCCATGCTTTTGCTGATAGCATGAAGCAGTTCAGTTCTTTCAGAAAGGTGGAGAACAGATTCATCTGACATACTTTTGGTCGAGACCAGGACTGTAAACATTGCATTGACTTGTTCAGAATTCTGTGAAAAGAACTGAGTATTCAGTCTCTATTATCCAGAAATCTCTCTCAACATGTAGTTTAATTTTCAAATTAAGTGGTACTACCCCACAATTTAACATCCACTTAAATAAATTTCATGTTTAATGTGGCAAGCTTTCCAAAAACTTGCTAATTTATTGCTTTCTCTACAATTTAAATGGATGTAAATAACTAAACTTGGACACAGTATCCTCAACATTTTTTAATGAAGTGCTCAAGAACAGGTTAAGCACTGTAATAAAATTTCCCTTTTTTTTAAGCCAGCACTGTGTGGCCTCTTCTTTCCTCTGTTAATGCAGGCACTAATTACATATGAACACAGCAATGATGTAAAAATGGACATTTATTACAATTAAACCAATGTGACAGAGGTCAAACAGTTTGTCACAATCACAACAAAGCTTAATCCAGCCAAGCACATATAAGTGACAGTGTAAACTTTAAAAACATGTTTAATACATATAAAATTGCTTCTGGTTTGACTTAAATCCATTTTACCACTACAATCTTACACACAGGGTCCTTTCACTACCTCTCTACCCTCATCTATCCCTGCCAACTGTGCACTGGGGAAATGCCCTGGGACAAAACCAGCCTCTGGTCATCTGGAATTTGTGTGTAAATCCTAGAATGGGCAGCCGCAGACAAGTTCTAATGGCTTGAGTTCACAGGCACCAGCCTGGAACTGCCACAGGAGTGGCACACACAGCATGGGCCTGGCTGGCTGCTGTGGTGGCTCAAGCATTGATGCTGGGGTCTGGCTCTGGGGCCTTAAAAGTGGCACCACTGCACTTTTCCTTTGGCTGGGTACTACTGAACCCACTCTCCAGCTGGCCACACAAGTGCTGCTGCCAGCAGCACTGCCAGAGCTAAGCTGTGTGAAAGCATGGCACCACTCGGGTGAACAAGCCATAACTCCTAGGGGAACCTCCCCTCCATGGGGACAGGCAACAGAACTTGGCCACTCCCAGGTGTAGACTGCCCCTGTCTCCCTCAAAATCACACACAGATCACATTTTACTGAGAGTCTGTTCAAAGTGTCAAAATATTACTGGATATCAGTTTACATGATTTGTAGTGAATATGCTATACAAATCTAATGTTTAAGAGCTCTCACTGTAAATTCATTGTTTCAACTACATCATGCAGGAGTATTGTAAGGGATGTGTCACATGTTTAACGTGTTGATCAAGAAAAGCAGTTAAATGACTTTGACTCTTAGTGTGTCCTAAGGTACCTATACACCCAATAAAGCATAACTACAAAACACCAAAAAATACAAATTAATTGGTAGACTTCAAAATAAAGTAATAAAAGGTCCCTTCCGTAAAGCTTCTACTTTGAAAGTATTCAGTTTTCATTATGTATCTCTCTATTCAGTTAGAAAGCTGACTTCCCTTTTCTTGTGTACATGGTCAAAGTAAGCCAATATCAGACCTAAAACCAGTTTCCTTATTCAGTCTGGGTTGGTTTCCCTTCTCTCCTACATGCATTCCCTTTGGAGTATAGTTACTTGCACAGTTTTGCTCAAGGTAGCTACACTAAAATGCACCTTCATGTCTAGTGAGTTGATCAGTTTTCTGAAAAAAACAGTTATCACCTTAACAGTTTTTTACCAGTTTGATATGCAGATCCTGGCAGGATTCTTTGGTATAATGACAAATTCAGTAGTAAACAGATATTTCCAATCTTTATGCAACAACTGAAATAAGCAGAATAATCACAAGTGGTGACTAAAATGTAGATGAACAAATTCTTTGGTTGCATAAACATAATTTCTATACCGTAGCATTTCATATTTGGAGTTGTCCATGTAGTTTCTTTTCATTTAAGTAGTCTATGCTTATGTCATAATAATACATTTCCTGAAGTCAAATTCTCTTATAAAAAACAGTAGGCTTATCGAAGTCAAATGCAATTTTCCTATAAATGCAGTGAAGGGAAACACTGAGTCAATTTAAATCTAATTCCTTTCATTTATAAATTCTGAACTTAAGATTTCTTGTTCCCTTTTTAAAAAGAAGTATTTTTGTATTGTTCTTGTAGGCCTGAATGAAGCAGCTTAGCAAAACAGTAATACTGACAAACAGCATCTTACACCATTAGCTAAACATTACAATGAAGGCAGTGAACATTTACAGTATGAAACACTGAGATGGCATCAGCTGAAGAGAAGATTTATGTCAATCCAATTTCTTCAAGTACACTACGTGGGGTCTCTGCTTCCTAGGGAGGGAAAATTTGAGACAGTAGTAAATGAACACTGTTTCTAATGAGCAGCGCTGTACATGAGTTAGTATGGAAGATGCTGAATTGGAAAAGAAAGCTGAAAAGACATGAAAACATGGAAGCACTGCAGTTTGCAAACATGGTATTAGCTGCACTAGTCACAAAGCTGTTATTTAGTCTGCTATGGTTCACAGGAATAGCTGATAGATTTTATGGCCTTTAAGCATAATAAAAATAAAACAATTTAGATCTATCAGCAGAGAACAAATCACAAACGAGTAACAGAGGAACTGGGGAGGGATGGGGAAGGATCTTGCAATGGAGTCAGTGATTGTTGTGGTGAATAGTTTCAAGGGTCTCAAAAATCTGTTTGGGAATAAGAAATAAGTGGATGAATGAAACTACAGATGCAACTAAGATACAGTATCCCTTAAGATATTTATAAAAGTTTGTTTGGTTTTTCATATAGTGATCCCATGTTTAATTAATAAAAACAGGTCACAGTACCTTAGTATGCCTGGTGTCAAACTGATCCCTTTCAAAGATGGAGGGGTTTTTAGGACAGGAATTTTATTATTCTACACCAGGCATAACTTTTGGGTTAATTCTAATCTTAGAAAGCTTTCCTTAGATTCAGAGAAAGTTGTTTAATACCAAATTCCAAAAATCATCAGCTTTGTATTCATTACTTCCATCTGAAAGGAAACGGCTTAAACTAGAAACATTAGGCTGAGCTTTTTTTTAATAACTATTAACAATGCCATGATAAATAAAAGGGGATACTGTGTCCATATCTAAACAAAAGCTTTAACATCAAGAGTATGAATAAACTTACTTTAGCATCCTAAAACAAGACATGTCATGCAGCAGAAAAAAAAAAGGCAGATAACAGTTAAGGCAGCCAAAAAATTATTTTTCAACTGCTTTGCAAATATTAATTAAAAAATAATGTAGGTAAAACACAAAATTAAGGACCTCAAACCTTGCAAATACCATCAGAATATTGTCTCTATCAGCCTTGACTGTGTCACACAAAATGATCAAGTTTACTATCATCATTCAGCTCATATATAAGGTGATTCAGCAGTGAAGTAACAAGATATGATACTTTAAGTAGACTTCATTGAAAAATCAGTCAGAGCTTGGAACAAGTATATTGAGATGGCTTCTAAAATCCAGCAGGAAATAAAAAATTGCAATAAAAAGGCAAGTTAAATCTGAAAACAAGATTCTTGGTGTATTAAAGATGTAGCGTTGGCTTATTTTTTCCCCTCACTGATGCAATATTTAAATATCCTTAGAACTGCAGTGACCTTGAAAAAGCCAGACAGGATGGCAGGATTAAAGATTTACATGTGTATTTTAACAAATCCCCAAAAGGAGGCACTGACTAAAGAAATGGCTATGTAGCATTTTTAATGTAACTTTTTGTATTATATTCCCAGATTACTTTGTTAGATTCATTTTAGAAAACACATACCTCCCCTATCCACCAACGTAAGGTATTTTACTCAAGAAATCCTATACTGTTAACTAACTATGGCACCAGAACTCAAGAGTATTCTACAAGAATACAACTTCTCAAGCATTTCAGGGCCTTCAAAATATTTGAAATAAATTAGCTTTTTAATTTTAAATTTATTAGACAGCAGTGGGCACTTAAGAGTTACTCAGGAGTACAACAGGATATTTACCAAGTTACCTGAAAACAAAGTTCTTTATAGCTGTGAAGAACTACAGAGCAGTGCTGCCACTGTTTTTAGAGCAGTTTAGTATTGTTGTTCTCACTGCCATTTCAAAGTCTGAGATGATTTTCAGAAGGCATATGCTTAAACACTACATTTCTTCATGTAAATCATGGTCACTGGCTAACCATTAAAAGCAATCCATTTCAAGAACACGAGCTACATGTCCACAGATATGTCACCCATAGAACTCAGACATATTTTAATTTTTTTTCACTAAAGTAGTAATCTTTAGACATATGTGCCTTCCTCATCATTAAAATAATCTCAAGGAACACCTAAAGGTTAATGTCTTTTGCTAGAAGAACAACTTCATTAATTATTACTTTTAAGAAACAAATAGAATGAATTAAGTTTCATTCACATTATTTGTTTTACTAAGTGTCAAACATTTTATCCAATTCTTAGGCAAAACATTCTGCAGTGCTATATACTACCTGCAGCTCAGAATCACCCAAGGCAAACAACAAATTTAAAATATCAGAACACAGATGAGGAAAAAAGTCATTCACATGAGACAAAAGTGCATGCAATACTTTATTTCAAACATGCCAGAAAAGCTAATTCATTACCTAGTCATTTAGAAGCAAGCAGCTGTATACAGATAACAAGAAAAACAGCATCTCATTACAGCTCAATGCACAGCATTTTAAGCCAACAGGCATGAAATAATGCAGGCTAAAGCAGCATTAACAAGACATCCAAACACATTGTTAATGGCTTACAGAAAAAAGGCAAACTTGGAAATGGAAAACCACTCCTATGATCTTGTTTTCTAAGATTTCAGAATGCTGCAAATCCAATCCAAATCTTTTGTCTAATCTCCTAAATCCCCCATTTTTTTGTCAGTTTAACATTTGGAAGGTAGTGCATTACCACATATAGTACGGGGAACTAGCTTGTTTGTGATTCGTTTTAGAAACTGCCTCCTTGATAATTCATGGAAACTATTTTCAGAATCAGTACTGGTTTTAGGTTAGGTTTTTTTAGGTTACAAACAGGACACATTACATGTCCTCTCATTCTGCCCACTTTTCAACTGAATGCACTTATATTCACCCTCGTGGCAGTTTTCCCATACACAACGCAGCCTGCATTTAAAACTGGAAATGCCCATTTAAGAAGGCATATTACAAGTTAATGGACTTAGATCTTTCCAACCCTAACCATTAATGGTTGGACTCAATAGGCTTAGAAGTCTTTTCCAACCTTAATGATTCTGTGATTCCATTATTCATTTGTAAAGCAATGATACTGTTCTCTCTTTCAGTGGCAGTAACACTTAAATTACTCACAAGAGCAATCTGCACATTTAGATACAAATGTTTTCATTTCAGATTTACCCATCATTCTCTTTGACCTAAGTAATTCTGCCCCCCTCCTTCTTGTAAGGTCAGTCACACTATTGTGTCAGTCTTCAGAAAGGGACAGTTTTATGTGCACCTTTAATTAAGATGCATGGTCTACACAGAATTTAATTCAGCATTATTTAATACTTGTGTGTATACACATTTCACATGATACTTCTTCACTACTTTCTCTGTAAGTCTTATCTTCACCTACAGACTTAAATTAAGAATATGTTTAAATACCACCACAACCTATTTAAAATATAAATGTAGGTTGAGTTATGTTACAATATAGGTATTGCAGTATATAGATGTTTAGCTCAGAAAATGCTACAGAACTTTTAAGCATAAGACTTCAAGCTTACACACAATAAAAAAGTTAAACCATATGGCAACAAGCACAAGTTTTGTTGGAATGAGGCGTGAAGAGACAACACTGTAAAACAGAGGGGGAAGAGAAAAGTACAACAGCAGAGAATGGTTGTGGCATTCTATTAGATTCAGGATGACTGGATTCAGCAAGCTGATGATAATGTTCTGTCATGAGTAAGTCACAGGTCTATCTCCTCTGAAATTCTGCATGCATGATGAATGAAGCCATTTAGTACACTGGTACATTAAAGTATTCATGACGTGGCTACAAAAGAAATGTACATATTCTTATACATAATAGAAAGGTGGACAGATATGCAAGAAAACAAAAATATTACCTCGCTATTGTATCTCTGACATTAAAAGGACATTTGATACAGAAATACAATATTGTATTTTTGACTACTCTAGATGTCCAGGGCGAAGGGTAGTGAGGAGAATCATAGTTTTACCCTCCCCATACTTTCATGCTGTGTCCAACAACAGACAGAAAAACTTCATATGATAAATACTTTATTACATAAGCTCAGAGTTTCTTCTTAGCCAAAAACAGTTTGATGCTCCAGAGATGGACCACCCTATCTATTACTTGTCCCTGCATCAGGCACTGCCTGTTGGCTTCCGTCAGAGACAGGCACTGAGCGAAGTGGCATCTGACATCACCCACCACATCTGCTCCAATAAAACACATGTTTAGAGATACCAGGCCTCCAGAACATGGCTGTGAGCACACCATGTCAGGGTAGTACAGCGGTGGAATTAATGGTGACAAAAATTGTATTTTGTAGAAAGAGAGTCTGTTTAGAAAAATTGAGGTCTCTGATACACCTCTCAAAGCAGGCAAAGTTTTCTTTGCTTTTGGATTATCCTGCTGAATTCAATATACTCTTGTATGACTGGTATGAACATTAGTATTCAATCTGCTGAAAGATGAGATAGAAAGAAAGCAACACTCAATCTTAATAATGGAGTTACAGTAATTTAGGAGCATCGGCCCCACATATTCTGATTAAACTTTGTCTGCAGTGAAAATATGCAAAACTCAACTTTCTACATGTCAGTTTCCATCTTTGATCCTGCACCAATTACAGTCTTCAATCTATTTTCGTATCCCACTTCCCAGAATGGCAGAAGTTTTAAAACAGAACTGAGAGTTCCCACAGACTTCTAAACTGTCTCCTCTGTGCCATTTCAGTTTATTCACATGTCCAAGCTTCCACGTTTTTAAATTCTATTCTCAAATTACAAAAAAGCACAATAAAAATATTCCAGAAGATGTATAGTTTTTATACTATTTTTCAGTATCAGTAATCTGAAGACCATGTCACAGTAGCTTAAATTACCCTGACAAGGCTAACTACAAATCCACTAGCTATAGCACCTATATAACTGTCACAGTTACAAGTAAGCTATATGATTCATGCTATAAATTTTAGATTCAAAAGAATTTGGTATATAACAAAGAATTACAAATGTGAATTTCAACACTTAACACCTCTCGCATGGCCTAAGTAAAAAGCATCAGTCTACATTAAAATCAAAACTCTGCCACATATTCCTAACTGGAAAAGGCATTGCATGATAACAGCGTATGTTTTAATGGAGTAGGATTTTTGACTAAAAAAAGTACTAACTTCAGAATTCCTGGAGCCTTCACAGACTAATATTCCCAGAAAGGTCTCTAGGGAAAACTTCTGCTGTACTTACACTGGTGACTGTTCATGAAGACAAATGAAGAACAGGCATACTGTAATAATCTAAAATGCCCAAATTTTATCTGAGTTACATATGCACACATGTGATTCCCCTCTTCCTTGTACCATTGGAAATGTGGAACCATCAAAGTTGGTGCCTTCACTGAAATGCCTGTCAAAGCTCCTAACAGACTTCTTATTTTTACATTAGCTCTCTGGACAGAAAGAATGACAGCAGCTCATTCTCTTTCTTATGAAGCTGACTGCAACCCACTGTTGTATTCAAGGATTATGTGTGTACACATTCTTAAGCATCATTTTTTGGCCTGGAAACACTGACTATATCCCATTTTACACAACTGTAAACATCAACAAATGATGTTTAAATCAATAAATAAGGCCATGGAAGTGCTCATTTACGTACTTTCCCAGCTTGCACAGTCCCACACAGTCCTGGCATTTTCCCCACCCTCTTTGTATTGTCAATGGTTTATACCTTGAGGAATTTGCCATCTTTGATGTTAAAATCATGGTACACAAAATTAGATTATTGACTCACATTACTGTTGTGGGATTAGTGCCTCATCTTCACAGAAACTTAAGAGTTTACTGATAAAGCAAGACAGATTGTCAGACAACAGGAAGAAAGTGGTTATTTCACTCCTGGTGGCTTTTTAGTTTACA